AGTTCTTCTTAGTGGTATGAGGGATTTTTGCGCACCATGCATACTCGTTTCTTGGATGATTGGCTTGCGCTATGATTGGGAGCGTAGGGGACGAGAGGTGCGAGTTTAAAGTAAAGTTACCATGCATGTGTAATTTACACATGCCTTTCTAACCCCTTAGCACCTATTATTGCATTGTCAGTTTTCTTACTGGGAATGAAAAATGAATTTGTTACGACATTCCCAAAATTTCTGCACGTGACCTTCGGCATAGCTAGTACCGCAGTCTGTACGTTTCTTAGCTGGAACATCCAGGGTTGCATTGCAGTGTTTCAGTCATACGGCCATGGAGTGTGTTCTCTACCCCGTCGGTCACCTGCGGGCCATCCACTGTCTGTTTTCATGACTCACACATCGACCCTGGAAGCCACGACCTAAACAGTATGTGTGTGAAGTACTTTGAGCCGTGCCTGTTTGCACGTCCCCTTTCACCACACTGACCGGTTTTATACCCTCCTCTTGACGTCGTACATGTTATCTCAGGGGGTGTGGATACCAGCATTCTTGTACGGAAACTCCATACTAATCGTCTGCAGCATATCTCCGTGGAGCATCGCTTCTTGACCAATGAAATTACTCTCGGCTCCATGTCATCTCTAACAGCGCCGACGCTGCCATCGGCGAATGGGATGATGTCTGACCACCGTGCTCATATTTTTACTGGTAACCTCCTACTGAGCTTGCTTCAGTAACTTTTGCTTTGCACTTATCTTTATCTATTCCAGGTTCCAACAAGCAAATTCGTCCGTGACATTATTCGTCGATCACCGAGTCCTCCCAACGGCTTGTGTGTGGGTTAGGAGCTTGTAACGGCTCGAAGCTGCCAACCCAGTTCATTGTCTTTGATTTTGGTGACATATACCACGTGTACCAGTGCAAGGCATCCGCAACGACGCGCTTCGACGATGTAAGAAGCAGATGCCTCGATGACCTCCCTATGTCCAGTGTGAACATTCCTACCTTTTTGATCGCTCTTCGAGAAAGAAAACTCTTCAGTTAACGCAACCCATCTTCCATCGCGCCGTAAGTTATGGCCAATTCCGAGTATATGTTTCTGCATTTATTCTTTACTGAAAAATCCTATGACCTCACTGTTTTATCACTTTGTGATCATGATTAAATCTCAGCTTATTGAACTGACGGGGATTTCTCGTGTTGTTTATGATGCTTATTGACAGTAAATTGCTAATTACGAAGTTTTAGGCATTTACAATTCTCCTTAGAAATAAGACTCACAATTACATTACGAGACTCATGATTTTAGTTGAGGTGTGAATAGTGTATGCTCTGGGGGTTTGTCGTCGTAAGGTCCTGTAGACTTCGTTGATACCCTGTCAGTGGTCATTGCTTAAATGTTGAGCATTGGGGACCTAACAGGGTCGTAACATCGTGCAACCATTCCCACATGTTGTATCTGCCTCTAAGAAATATAACTAATCATTGGTAAATAAATTTATAGGTATGATTACTTGATACATCTTAGCAACAAATGTAGAATAAGTTGAGGTCCCCCAGTTAGTTATGACAACAAATCTATGCATATATCAGGGTGAAATAGAAATCTCTGGTATTAAAACAACAAACGGTAATTTCTAATTCAGTTGGAAGCATAAATGGGGGGGGGGGGTTTTACCTGAATAAAATAGGTGTAATGCTTTAATAGTCCATCTAACCCGACGCCAAGTTACGCAGGCAACTGAGTCTCCGCGGGTTCAACATGTTCTGCGAACTATGCCAGTAGCCCTTCAGCCCTACCATACGTCCGTAGTGATGTAGCTTCCCGAGACTTCCCAAAAAGCGAAAAAAGGCACAATGGCTGGGCAGGTTGTGTATTATCGACCTAGAAAAGAACTGGGGCTACTGGCATGACTTAAAGGCCATGGTCTCTAAAGAAGTTGCAAGATCTTTGAGTATTCTCAAAGCCTGAAAGAAGTGTTATATGAATATTTTACGTACTACATTACATATTCGGCCATGGTACAATGAATCCTTGCAAATTCAGGAAATACGCTGGAGAAGCACATAAGTGGTGGCGACATATGACACTTTGGAGTAATGACATTGTTTAACCATTAAATCCGCAAAAACTGCCCTTTAGTAATGAGAAACTGCCAAGAGCCGAATACATGGTAATGGTTTATTTATTGGGGGTACTTAAAGTAACGAATAACGAAGTGAAATAGTGGATGTGAGGCAGATTAACTGTGCATCCTGTAACAGTTAGCGGACGTGAAGAGGTTAATTTTCCTTCAAACACACTATTTAATGCTAATTAACAAGTGTAGGGCTTAAGACTAATGTCTTTTTTATAAAAAACACTGTCTTTGTTTTATAAGGAGTGCATACTATATATTAAAGCTCCTTTACTCGGGTTAGACTTTCAAAGCATTTTTTGTTTGAACGCCCTCTTTTTTGCTCGGTTGACTTGATTTGATAGCTCTCACATTGCTTTTATGTGAAGATGAATAATAATCCCGACGTGTTTCATATTGATATGCCTGATGTTCCTGGTATGGAGGAAGGAAAAAGTGATTCAGAAGAGTCTAATCACAACTCGAAAGCATCAGAGGTTGGTAATGTTCTTGGCTTCTAGTTCTGTATCTAGGGTTTTTTGTCCAGAGGTCCACTCTCTGTTGAAGAGTAAGTCATTCGTACTCGATTTTCTTACAATATTACTTGATTAGCCATTGTTTTGTTTTGGCTCGCATGATAGATTTTACCCGCTTACACCTAGGTTAGCTGTAGGTACTTGATAGTTAATTAATAGTCCGTAGTTCTGTTCCCTGACTTAAAAACAGGTGCAAACTGTTGATTTATGTTTCATTATTTGATTCGACAAATCAGTTGGGTATTTTGTTCTTATCCTTCTGTGTAAATCGCTGGTTGTGGTCTAGAGATTTCGCCTCTTGGCTGACTATTCTGATCAACTAACTCTTTATCGATTCTTGCTTGTTTATTAGTTTGGATTGCCTCTATATTAAAGTATGCCGCATGTGCTCAGTTCTAGAATTTTCATTTAGAATGAACGAACATGTTGAACGGGTTGAAATTTGTGAAGATACTGTTAACCCCGGACAGCCAAAAGTTCGCCCTCAAGATTTCACCCTACTTAAAGTCCTTGGGAAAGGAGGCTACGGCAAAGTAATAGAGTTGGGCTTGATTTAACTCATTTAGGTTTTTCTGGCCCGGAAAATCACGGGTGTTGACAGTGGGCAAATATTCGCCATGAAAGTTCTCAAAAAAGCCTCAATTGTTACAAATGCGAAGGATACTGCACATACCAAAACTGAAAGGAATATATTGGAGATGATCAAGCATCCCTTTCTTGTGCAGTTACATTACGCTTTTCAGACACCGGGGAAATTATACCTCGTTCTGGAGTTTCTGGCTGGCGGTGAGCTCTTTACACAGTTGGAAAAAGAAGGTGTGTTCATGGAGGATCAAGCGAGGTAAGTTGACTTCGTGTTGTTTTTCAGTCGATACATTCTACCTATATTATCAGCATTTTCATGTTGTGTATGCTTTAGTTTTTACCTATCAGAAATCATCTTGGCGATTGGTCACCTTCATAAAATGGGCATCGTATATAGAGATCTTAAGCCAGAAAACATCCTCCTAGACACAGAGGGGCATGTCAAGTTGACTGACTTTGGACTCTCGAAAGAACGTGTTGATCAAGACTTAACGCACACATTTTGCGGAACCATTGAGTACATGTAAGCTTATATCTACTCAAATCCAAGTGGTTTCGTCGAAATCATTTATCTTTTTGATATCTTCTACTTAGGAATTTAAAGAATAAGTTTTTTTGCACAACCGCTGAACCGTGGTTCCTTTGATCATAAGCACATCCTTATCTTATTCGCGATTTTGACACCCAAGAACTGTCTAGCTTGGGATGTTATTTTTATTAATTACTGCATGATCTTCAGATCATTACCAGCTACTCCTGGTCTGTTGATGTGCATTTGCACACATTTTGTAGGGCACCGGAAATTTTGCTTCGACAAGGTCATGGCAAGTCGGTGGATTGGTGGAGTCTGGGAACACTCATGTACGACATGCTTTCTGGAGGGGTCAGTGGAAACCTTTTTTCATACCTTTTGTTTTCCCGCCTTCCCAGTGCACTTGCAGTCTCATGTATTGTAGTAGCTACTTTATTCAGCATCTCATGTCTATCTCATATCTTGTTTTAACTGTACGAATTTCTTTATTGTACTTTTTCTAGTACACTTGAGACCTTTCATATGAGTTATGCAATCGTGCCGTTATTGCGCATTCTTTACCAGTGCATTCATAATTACTGTAGCAAATGATTTTTTTAAACTATGGTTCCTTAGCACATTGGTTAGCTGTGGACATTAAAAGAAACATGTTAGACCTATCTAAATTTGCCATTCTCAAGCTTGTCCTTCGTCGTTTCAGTCATATTCGTATTGTAATTGCATTAGGATTAGCAACTTGAAGCGCGTTTTCTGAATCAAATTAGTTTGATCGGTTTCCTATCGCGAGTTTGGTACTATCTAACGTTCTTTTTGAATACAAAACCTCAAGTGGATTGATGTATAAAAGCTAATATTTAGTCTTCCTTTCGAAATCTTGAATTCATTCGTTTACGGATGAATAGAACTTCCTATTTCGATGTGCCAAGTGGCGCAATTCCAGGACCCGCTGGCTGATTCGCATACTTTTGTAAATGCATTAGAAAGACGCCATGGTCTTTGTAAAATGCCAGCGAGCTTGGCATTGTGCCAACGGCATGTCCATTGTTTGGGACGTAAATTCTAAACTGAATTCACTGGGGTCGGTTTTAGGCTGCTTTTCGTTGATGAAAAAATTGCAATGATAATGCGTTTTGTCTATATCCGCTCTTTATGATCCGTATGCAGTCACCTGTGTGTGCGCATGCGTTTTTATTTACTCCCATTTGCGTGCGTCGTTGATGCTGACCACATTTGACTCATGTGTGAACATTGCGCAATCTTACTGTTCCTATCCTTGACCCATTGACACGTGCTTTTTGTAGCTTTACTGTGTCCAATCTTCGTATTTTGTGCAAATCTATCCCTCGATGATGTCAACAAATTACACTTCCTTGAAGCTCTCTATCAAATTATTATGGGTGGGGTTGACTGCGGTTCCATAAAAGGCCAATCCACTAGGTAGAATAAGTACTTTACCAAGCTTGAGTTTAAATTAAAAGTTTGGAGCATTAACAGTGAATTTTTGTGTAAGTTATAAGCTTGACCTTTATATGCACCCTCAGTTAATTGGGTAGGTTGATAATTCTTAAAATAATGTCTCTTTACAGCAATAAAATTCAGGCTTTCCGGGTACTTAGGGTTATAACTCCACCCACTAGTTGCGACGTCTAGTATTATTGGTTATGACTTCTCTTTAAGTGGACTCCTCCCCTACCACTTACTGTGTATCCATCCTCGGTAGTATCAGCTGTCGCTGTGCTTCATTCTCCAACTTACACATGCAAGGCACATCCCTTATTTACCTTGTTTTTGTTTCAGCCTCCTTTTACCGGAGATGATAGAAAAAAGACTATGGAAGCTGTGAGTAATTACTCTGCTTCACTTGAGGGAAGGGTGTCCGTTGCATCATTTCTCATGTTTTTATTCACTTTAGGTACTACGTGGAAGATATACCCTTGCTCCTTATCTTACTTATGAGGCCAAGGACCTGCTTAAAAGAGTAAGGCCGTGACTGCGGTTTTTCCCTGTAGATCTCATTATTGGGGATAACTTAGGGTCGAATGGTGTTTTCGGGCCTGCATTGGTGCGAAAAGACTATACCAAATAGCTACTATTTATTGCTTTGGATTTTTTGTGAATTTTCTGCCACTGGGTCTATTTCAATTGCTTTCCTACAATCATATCAATATATTAGGTGGGACCTACAAAAGCAGATTTGTTGCAGTGAAAATTATAATGGCTGTTTATATTTACGACACTCCTGCATCAGGTTTTATTTTAATTGTAGAAGCTTCACACAGCTATGTTGGAAGAGTTGCAAACGTACGCATCAGTTAGAGGGGTTAGGTTTTTTTTGCATCCAGTGATAAACGATTTAAATGGATATTCTTTAATCTACTAAGGCGCCCTAAATTTCCCAAAAACTGCTTCTCGTGCTCGAGTTTTCTTGGTTATCAGGTCCCTTCTGCGGCTCTTTTTACTCTTTTACTTTTATATGGAGCTGATTTTTAACATTAATGGATAAATGTCTACTTTGTTGAGATTTGTGGTTTTAGCTTCTTCAACTCTGGCAGATGTGGTCAACTGTTTACTGGAAATGTCAGTAATAGCTCCCCATCATTCTATCAATTTGTACCTGTGATTCTTTTGCCTAAGGAAAATCCAATTCCATGGTTGATTAACTTTTTAAAAAGTTTTAAAAGTTCTAGTAAGTCTGTAATTTTCGTAGGGGATCATCTACCTACAGTAGTTTCCTCAATGCACTCTCTATTGGTACTGATGGCTCTTATAGTCGTTATTTTCAATTAGCAGTTTTTACTACATATGACTATATCTAAATCTACGTAGAAGTTAATTGAAATGCTTCCACATTGATGCTTTACTACTTAGAGCGGATGGTTGTAAATTGCACCGCTATTTTTCACAGAACTGTGGTGCCTTCGCTTTTAGGCAGGAGCCAACTAGGGGTGCGATTGCAATCTCCGTTGCCGCGATAGTAATTTTTGCATTCAGCTAAATAAATTACTGATGCCCGCCTTACTATCTATGTACTAGTTTGGTCCTTTTGGACTATGCGATTTTATGTGAAGTGATCATCTACGTTAGAGCTCAGGTAGGAATTTGATTACGCAATTGTCCATAAAAAGCGTAAATACTAATTGGCTAGAGAGCGCAACGACAAATCATTTTCGCTCAAAAATTGAAAATCGGTGTTTTATCATTCTAGTTGCTGAAAAAGACAGTTTCAGAGCGTTTGGGCTCGGGACCGACGGATGCCGAGGAAATAAAGCAGCATCCTTTCTTTCAATCAATTAACTGGGATCAGGTGTACGCACGGCAACTGGAGCCGCCCTTCAAACCGAGTCTTACGTCGGAGACTGATGTTTCCCGTTTCGATCCTCTATTCACCAGTGAAAATCCTGTTGAATCGCCGGATGATGGTGTTCCTATCTCCGCTTCTAATTGCGATGTCTTCGATGGTTTCACATACGTCGACCCACAGGTTCAAATATCAATGGTTCGTGATCCATGGGCTTTCGATGGCTCCACCAACTTGCGGCGACGCAGGCGCTCGGGAATTTCTATTGGCAGGTGTATCGACTGTGATAGGAGATTTAAATAAACTTATCCAATTCTTAATTCGTCATCCACTTACCGTGATGTGGGAATGCTTTTTTTTCATTTCAGTTCTCCTGCATGTGCTGGTAACCCAATGATACCAGTTCCGACTATTCACGGCATCCCCGCCCCCAATTTTTTTGGTAGCATGAACCAAGGAGGCAGTGGTGGACCTGGTCAGCCCTTCGTTTTCGCAGAAGACTTTGAAGATATGGAACTCGGTTCGGGACAAGGTGATCCCGTCGCCCCTCATTCCGTCTTTCCCTCACAGCTCATACCCACCAATCCAAATCGACCTTCCCGGAATCAACGGGATCTCTCTTCTAGTCCTCGAAGACCTAATCCCAATTCTTCCTTTGCGTCTACCAACTACCGCCAACATTAAATGTAAAGGAAACTTCATCCTGCTTCGCCCATCTACCTCCCTGCCTCTGACGTTGTGCCAACTGTCCCTATCTCCTGCCACTGGAAAGCAGTGTTTAAATCCACACCACATCTATATTTATCACCTGACCCTAAGTTGTATAGATTGAAAGAGGATGAGTTACAGTAAGCATTATCAACTTGCAGACAAAAGGGCTTTTGTATGAGGATTCCTCGTGGTGACTGTGCTGATTATTGGTGGTTTTAATGATGATGCCGACTCACTGGAATGGTGCACACTTCAGTCGTCAACACCGTCCCCTGTGCATTATAGAGCTGCATTTTATTCGGGTCGCCGTATGCTTGTCAGGAACTCCAGTGCACTGCCATACGACGCCTTTCTGGCTTTCCAACAATTTTCTTCCTCAGCCCATTTTCCCCTTTCATCCCGTGAAACTGCTTGTGGTGTAGGTGTTAAGGTTTTGCCTTGTCTTATTTTCCAACTGGCCTTCCACGACTTTCTGAAGTCTGTTTTTATATTATCGACCTCCATCAAATCTTGTAATCGAGCAGTATTCATTTAGATTGTTCCCTTGATGAATTGCAATAATAATGCATATGCTTACCATTTTCCTCTTATTTACAATTCTTTGGTATTTTTGCCTGTTTGTGTTTCTGCCTGTGTCGCCTCGGAAGGCCTGACCCAATTGGTGGCTCACGGATTCATGTATCATTACTTTTTGAGTACAGCGCTTATGTACTTTGTGACATGAAGTGTTCGATGCGATTTACCATTCACCCCAGGTGACATCCGAAATCATTGAGAGTTCTGCCGTCACCTTGGTGTATTTTCTACTGTAGCCTGAAGTTACGTTGTCATGAGGCTTGTGTTTGCATTTCTTTTCACATCTCTGCCTTTACTAGGGACACTCGATGATAAGGGCAAAACATTATTATTAATTGCTGTTGGACTTTGTCCTTTCGATTTTTATTTAGTGTTGGTTTTAAATGTCCAAACGAAGTCATTCCGACCAGCAGCCCTCCAGTGGTGGTGGGGAATCCATTCCAGGTGTTTCTGCTCCCAAGCGCCCATTTCTCTCGGGTTCAGAGCTTGTTCTATTCAGCCGTGTCCGATCTCTCGAGGAGTTGGATAAGCGCACCTTGCAATTGCAAAATAAGAAGCTCTATGAGGCTCTCACCGAGAAACGTTCTGCTATTAGTGATTTACGGCAACGAATCGAGCAGCTGGAGAATAGACAGGCCAAAGATGATGCTCTACTCTGCGTCGTTAACCGCTACTGGAATCAGGTACAAAGTCCTTCCGGCATATTCACACTATTAATTAATACACACTTATTGTGAGTATTCGATAATTACTAATATCTTTTGTTCCAAAGTTTACAGCGAAGCCAGGTAATAACGTCAACTTCGAATTGTTCTCTTAGCGTTCTTTACCGATAACATATTAGGTTCTGTTTTTTGCTCATTTTAGTTGGATGAGGACTGCCTTCTCCTTCTGCAACGTTGTGAGGTTGATGTGGATGAGAAAGGTTTGTTTACTAATGCTGCATGTCTAGTTATATCAATGGGCATCGAACATCATTTGCATTACCTTCTACGAATGCACGGTGTTAAAAGTGAAACGTTTAGCCTAAGTGAATTCTAACCCACATAAATTTCACTGATATTCTGGTCTTCGTCTCAACATTCCGTTTTTTTAACCACAGTTTCAAATTCTGCCGAATCCTTCCTCAAACAATTGGCTTCCTGGGAAAAGGAAGAAGTTCCTGAGAAATTACAACAGCGAGTCCATTTTTCAAAGCGCATTATTGCCAGATTATTGAATTCTCTTGAGAAGTAATTCTTTTCCTCTATGCGCTTTTTGTATGTACCAGCTTTGGAGGAATTGCGGTCAATTTTCTTTACTGTAAGGTTTCATTGAGCTAATGTGAAGAGTTTTTTTACGACGTAAAGAGGCGAGATGTATCAAACATTGTGTATGCTTGCAAAACTTTGATTGGGAATGCGTTCATCCATTGTGCTTGCATGTTTTGTCAGCATATTAAACCCTCATTTTGACGCTGTTCAATTTGGTTGTGAGGTCGAACGTGTTAGTGATTATTTATTTAATGACTGATGTCATGCCACCTCCCCTGTCCAAGTGTGAATGTTGCGATACTTAGGTTGGATATGGGCTACATTCCTACTGAAAAATGCACAATCCCTAATATTAACTCAACCGATCAATAAAAAAGTTTCAGACCTTATTAGTTGTATTACTCAATGTGGAAGCATCAATGGTTGTTAATTTTCCTGCATCAAGTCTTAAAAGTGAATGCGGGGTTGCATTTCACTCGTACGTGCTCATCCCAGCTAACAAATGCGACATTAATTTCTTGCTTGACAATATGATGCTAGTCCATGCTGCATGCAGCTGCTTTTCCCATTAGACTTTTCGTTCATCAAAGTCGTCTTCGTTCCCTTCTTGTGGATGAGTTGCAGTCGGACAGGATTGTGAAGGCATCCACCGCCACCACATCCTCCAAGACCTCATCACGTCCCGGGGGAACAATTGAGGAAGAAAGTATGGAAAAGTCCAGCACTAATGCTACTACTGCAGTAGATGATGGGGCTAAAACGGATGGTGTCTCCGCCTTGTCTTCAATTGAAAAGGTGATCGCTGCACTGAGGGAGGAGATCGCTGCTCTCTCCACCGAGAATGATCGGCTGCAATGTCTTTGCACCAGCATGCATGCCAATCACCGGCAGCAAAGTCTTCGTGTGAGTGCTACTTTTTCTGTGTATGTGTATGTGCGTCAGGTAATGTATGTTTTATTTATTTGTTGTTCTAAACTCGTTTTGTAGTGTTTAGTTCCTAATAAAGTACATTCACGCCCCACTGTTTGCCACAAACAGTCAGGTGTCGTTTTTTCAAAAGTGCTTTTTGGATGGCCGTTTTTTTCAATATATTTGAAACCAAGTTAGCCATAAATATTGCCATCTCTGCATTTGTTTTGTAGTATTTATTGAGGTCGGTTTTTTATATAACAGTGTCTTTGGTGTGTCCAGATAGTTCTCAAATCGGCGGCAAATGGTTATTATGGCGTGGAAATTGGTATCTAGTCCTTGGGCACATAACTGGGATATAAATGACCGCTTATACAGTGCCTTGATTAGTCATCACCATTGAAGAAATATGCCATGGTTTATGCAGTGGAGCATTCTTCCTATGCAAGTGTTTAAGCTGTACCGTTACCTGCGCTGCATTTGTACCACCGTCGGGAGCTTAGGGGTAACGTTTCCATAGTTGATTTGTCTCATCATCGGTGTTGCATCGTATCATCACAGTTCTTATGGATTGTTTTTTTCTTTACATTTAACTGGCCCTTATTTACTACCCTCTTTAGTTTCTTCAGTCTGCTCGAAATTGCCAATTCAGAGCACCCGGTGATATAGCAGCTTCACTTGCTAATCTGAATTTTCATCAAATCGTAAATGGCAGTTTTTTTGCCCCGTATATTGATCCGAAGGACAAATACATTCATTATGGCTAGTATAACATTGCTACTAATATGTTTGACTCGGCAAATTTAGTAACCATTCATTCAAAATGTCATGCGTCGATGTGGTTTTCAGCTGGCAACTTACTTTTCTATGCTTTTTCTGTTCTGTTATGCCACCAGGAGCACCTCTTGACACAATTATCGAATACGAACGCTCCATTTAAAAATACCCTTGTTTATCGCTTCCATAATGTACACAATTTTTTTTAATTCGCAGGTGCTTGAGCTGCAAGATCAATGCCAGGCGAACTCCGACGCCGCTGATGAGTGGAAGGCGAAGTACGAAGATCTTGAGTACAAACTCCAGCAGTCCACCGCACAGCTTGCCATTCTCGATCATCGTCTTTATGATGCTCAGCAGTCGAAGAAGCTTCTTGAGGAAGAATTGGCTGCCTTAAAGGGCACATCTGGCTCTCCTGGGGGTTAGTTTTGGCTCCTTTTTTCCTGCTTCACTAATATTCACTTTTTACCCACCATGTACGAAAGAGGATCGTCGACTAAAGAACAAACATGCTAAGACTAATGCGGCTATTTTGTATTGAAAATCCGAATGTACGTTAGTGAGACAGTAGTTTTTGTTATCCACAGCTCAGCTAATGTTTTTAATCACCATCGTGCCTGGTTGTTTACACAATCCCTCAAGAATTTGCCTTTTATTCCTTCTGCTACTTATGTCAGTCTACGTGTTGTTCTAACTTCCTCTTTTTCGATTTTGAATGTGTCATCTTCAATGTTCTGCTATTGATAAATATGATGCAAATACGGGTATTGCAACCCACCTGAACCACCGCATGGTGTCTGTGTTTGTGTACTCTCGAGCCCCCATTCTTCATCCGAGGTGCACTTCCTCATACTTAATGAATGGGTTCAAGCGCGAATGGTTTGAATAATCGTGCAGGTACTAACAAGGTAGTGTGATATGTAAAATTAAATTGTCTTGCGTCTTCGATGGCGTAGATTTGATGACAACTGCATTTGCGCGGCTACGGTAATAGGTGGTCATATGAACAGTGAGGAACTCTTTTCCCACTCTTTGCGATCAAACTTTTCATGCAGGCACAGTACGTCTTGACGGGTCTTGATCCATCACCTTTTAGAAGGTACAGAGGAGGCAAGCGGGACGCAGGGGGTAACAAAGAGCAAATACAACGACATGCTCTGCGAGTTGGAGGAGCAACGCGAGCTGGCCGCCAACCGCCTTACCGAGCTGGAGCGTCTCCAACGCCAGCACGAGGAGAAGGTGGCTGAGTGCGCGAAGCTCAGCATGCAGGTTCGTGATTCGCATGCGCAAATCCATGATGTGTGTGTGTGTGTACTTTCGCGGCTTACAATGTCTCTCACGCGCCTCTTCTGTTTTCGGTCTATTCACAGTGCTAAAATTCGCACTTTCCGTGATAGTCGTCTCTGAATCATTGGACTGATGCTCTTATGATGGTGCAAGATTGAGGTTTACACCGTTGTAATGCATCACATACGCCCAATATCGAGACATCGGTTTCCGGCTATCATTAACATTAGGCACCATGTTCTGTCAGCGTACTGGTCTAGAGCAAGGCGCTCTCCATGACACGTTTGAACTGGTCTCTGTTTGATTAGTACATTCTTATTAATCTTCTTGATCACGTTTGATCCTCATTCTTATTAAGGGATACTTTATAGCTCATCAATTGTTTCCCCTTTACAATCCTTTCATTTCAGGTATCTATGTATTTTTAATTGCCATACATGGCTTAAGATTGTGGTCGAGAAATAAGAAATTTTCTCATCTTGTAAATAAAATTGTTTAATTATTTATCCTTGTTGCATGGTGTTCTACTGTCAATTCAGTTCTGAGTCTTGTTGAGAATCATTAACATAGTACCTGTTGATTGTTACGTAATAGCGAATTGCAGGGTATTTTGTGGGTTAATTGATTTTCTAATCAGCCTTGCCGATTTTTTCAGGTGAACGATCCTCCGGAACAATTGATACAAGATTCACCAAGCTACAAATCGTTGAAGGTTCAGTTCAACATTCTCTACGGTGAGGTCAAATCTCTGCGGTCTCAATTAGAGGAGTCTCGGAGCATGATTCAAACTATTCGCAATGCTCACCTGAAACAAATTGAAGAAATGGAGGTGAGCTTTAGTCACAACACACATGTTAGGTGACGGTGTGATGTGAATCCCGAACTCCAAGGCATCAGTTGGCTCTATAAGTGGACCAGGGAGGGCTTAACTCAGCGCAGGTTTGATTGCGAGAGGTGAATGATGGTCTTCCCCCTATTGATTGACTGAACGATTCGTATCCCGCCATTCCCGGCGCGTTTGCAGCGTACGCATGTGTTGAGCTGCTCGCTTTGTACGCGTAGGTAGGTTCCACACCTACCTGGTAGGCGTCAGATCCTGTTCACAGGATAGACCAGCCGTCGGCCAATCGAAGACAGCGCTCCTGATAAATTCTTTCTACGTGCAGGTCACATATTGCACAAAAGTGCTAGTTTTTCCTCATTTCGCCATCGTTGTTGTTGTCTGGATCTGTAAAGACAACTAGCTTGCTCATGTCTGTTGGTAAATTACACTTCATGAGTCAGTAGTCCACACACCCATTAAGTCTCGCCGATTTATGCTTCCATCATAAGATTGAAAGATTGTCCATCTATGGTCGAGTTTTTCTAGCCATCATTTTTGTTAACGTGTTTGAAAGAAAGGATCTTTCTGAGGGGGAGAATTGTTTCACTATCAAATATTAATTGCTTTTATGAAAATCCGGTATTTTCTATTGTTTACAGCGTCAAGACGTTCATATTAACCGCCTACTATTTTGAATCTTTCTACGTAATACCTTCAGGCGAACGAGACGGCCATTTTGAATCAGATGCGTGGTGAGATGTTGGCGCAGGAGGAGCTTTACTCCAAACTTCGACGCGAGTTCGAGATGATCGAGGCTGATTTTAAGCAGACAGTAGCGCACAACGAGCAGGCGGGTCCCATAAACAGTGAAATGCGCAGCCTCATCACCACACTGCAGTTACAAAACAAGCAGCTCAAAAATGAGGTTGTCCGCTATCGACGCAAGTCTAAGGAGGCGGCTCATGATTGTCAAATGGTTTGTCTTGAAATCTTTCCTAGTTTTCAATGACAATCTCAGTTGCCTTACATCTGTGTGCCGTATTGTCGGGCTGACAGAGAAATGGGTGGATTGCCAAAAGTTTTCCAGTAGCCGTAAACTTGTTAACTTTGCAAATTTTCCTGGCATAAAACTGGTAACCGTTTTTGGTCACCACTTTGCTTTGATGATTCCAAAACTTGTGTATTCTATTTTTACAATGTTTGCCTTTTTGTACAAAAACAGAACAGACTATTGGTAATTTGGTTACCTACGATACCACTAACATTTTATACCTAATTGATGAGTGTTGAATCTAACTTAAAATGGTAGTTTGGTGTTTTTTGGAATATTTACGCTAGAATAGTATATTTCAGGTAATCTAAAACCATCAATTCTGGATGAATCTCAAATTTTGGAGGCTTGCTTTTTTAATGACTTACCTCAGCGTCATTTGCCTTACAATTTTTGGTTTTGGTCGACTACAAACAGGCGACTAATGAACTAAAAGCCACGGAAGAGGAGCTTTCCCGCGCTAGAGCATCTTTGGCCGAAGCCACAGCCGCCGTGATCCAACTTACAGATGAACTTGCCGCCTCAAACCCGACGCCCTCTACTATCGCTCCTTCGGAACCTTCTCAGACCTCAGACTCGCCTCCTAGGAAGCGTGAACGCGAGAACGACACGGAAAGAAAAGGCGCTGATGAAGGAGTCTCCTCCAGTCGTTCTAGCGGTACTGAGCCTGCGACATCGCATAGTGTTAGTTTCTATTTATCTTACCTCCATTGGAAGTGGTAATGGTTCATCGCAACATTTCCCTGCTACCTTGGCCTTTGCCTTTCTGGAGTTATTCGAAGACCATCCCTTGATGTCGATTCCTTACTTGAATTGATTGTGGTCGTGGAAATTGTTTTCCTTGACACATATTTGGCCTTATCATCATTTCCATTAAGGCTTTGTCTTTGTATCTTTAGCTACTAGGATGAGACTAAGCGGACTATAAGGTAGCTAATGTGAGAAAAAATTTCCCTAACGCTGCATTCATTGAATTTGTGCTGTCAGTTGATTGTCCACTGTTCGATTGTCTGATGTTCGACTGTCGATCAAGGTGAATGCGTGTTGGTATTCAAACGGCATTTGTTTTGGGGCGTTTTTGAGGTCTCCGATCATTTTTGTACTAGTCATTGTTTACGACTGTCGGTGGGTGAAGTTTTGTGCCATGATTGTCACTGCCAGAGATCGGAAGAATTTGGTCTCACACACACTTCCCGATTGTCGCGCTTTCGGTTAGATGCACAGGCAGAGAATGCGCCTGGTTATGTCTCAATTATTAAAAATGTTTCAATCACCACTATCTACTCTGGGTTTCTTCTCTGTGATAGCATTTAGTGATTGACAGGTTCGTAACATAACTCATGAATTCGTTTAAAAGCTATTCACTGCACGATACTTGTGTTGATAAGTTTTGCGCTCTCCTAGGAAGCTTCGTCGAAAGATCGGAAAGGCTCCTCTTCCTCTCAATCTCCTGAGGAAATTATTCGTGATTTGCGTAATCAATTGAAGTGAGTTTCGTCGTACACACTTCAATGGTCTTGTTTGGTTTGGGACTTACTTATTTTTACCACTTTTATAATGACTTCTATGTAATCGCACCTTATTTAATCTGTGTACGTGTTAGATTTTCTAAAGGACTTTTTGGCTAATTGTTGATGGCTGAAGTACTCACCTACTTCCTTGTGGCCGTGTATGGTGGTAAGACCAATCGAAGTAGGCCTGTTGCTATTTCAAGAACTCTTAGGTCGTCTCGCAGTTTTCATAACATTTGGTCATTTTATGTGCACTCTTTTCGCGGGTATTAGTCAATTTTATGGTACTCAGAATCCCATTTTTTCCCTAGGTAAAGTCTTACTATGCTCAATTTTGAGCAGAATGTAAATGTTTCATATTATTGGATGATTCGGACGCTGTTCTGTAACGCGGTTTGATTATGGTTCTTCAGTTTTTTACCCTTTCCCCGTCAAACTCATACCAACTTTACGAATACTGGATGGCATTAGTTTGATATCGCGTTTTTAATTTGCAGAATATCACAGGAGGCTGAGAAGGAGATGTCTGTTTTGCTGAGTATGTATAAGGTTATTCCTAAGGACCAGCGTGATAAGGCTACTCTTCTTCAAGTTGAAGCGAAACTGCGTGCTGAGCTCTCGGAGGCGCGATCCGAACTAGCCACTCTGCAGTCGGTCAACGCTGATTTGCAAGCTCGCTGTGCTCAACTTCAACGAGAGTATCGCATCGCTACCTCCTCCACTTTCCCATTGAAGAGAGAGCTCGAAGAGCAGGCTGATTTGCCAGAAAAGAAAGTGGCTGGTGAGGGCAATTCCACTGCCCACTCTGAGGAACCTTCGCCAAGGGAGGGGTCTGTCGCTACTGGCTCTGGTGCGGTAGGACCCAGCGCTACCAACCCTTCTCATCAAACATCTCCGCTGTCAATCTCTACCTGTATGAACGTGGTGTCCCCAGAGAGCGGTGAAAAATCGGCATCTGCTGCGCCTATCCTGCCTCCCCCTCCGCCGCCACCACCACCAACACCTCACCCGCTTATGCCACCGGTTCCAAGGAAGACTTCAAATCTAGATGAGGATAAAAAGGCCTGGCAGGTTGCCGAGCTTCAGCAGGAACTCCAACACACTCAACGTCGCTGTCATACACTGGAACAGCGCGTCAGTACTCTCCAACAGCACCTCCTCACTGCCAAACAGCAGGAGGATGTTATGCTGAAGGAAATGGAGGTTCGTTGGTTTCGCTTTTTCTAAATGACTTCTTGCACTATTAGAATTTTATAACCAAATAGACTGAAATGGAGTTGGACTACCAATGCTAATTTATGCCTTATATTATTTTCATTTATGCTTAATACCCTTGCGACTTTGTACACATCATCTTTACAACCATTTCACAATCTAATTCCTTCCCTGTTGGTGAAAACTAAGCAGAAATTTCTTTTGCACGTTATATTGAAATTCTGCTGTAGTGTATTTCGAGGTGATAGGTTTATTATTTTCTGCAATGTAGACGCTCCAATGGTTATGCTATTGCGGTTTTAGGTAACGGGCCAGGCGTTTGAAGATGTGCAAGAGCAGAACTCACGTTTGTTGAAGAGTCTGCGTGAAAAAGATGATGCAAATTTAAATCAAATGACAGAGTGGATGAAGACCAGTCAGTTGGCTCGTTTGTTGAAGGAGGAGAAGAAGCTGTTGGATGAGCAGGTGCGTCTGATGCAGGCGAAAATAGAGGCTCTCACTCGCGCCATTCAGAAGCAGGAAGACAAGGTAAATTACTCCTAATATTGCTGCACACTTTTATCTTCCGCCATTCATAGATGGTGCCATTGGTACTACTTGCTTATGATATCTCTGTAAACGTTGCGAGATTTTATAAGAAATTTACAGGATTAGCATAGGCAGCACTAGCACAGCTAATTGCCACCAGCGTGGAGGCCGGTTTGTGAGAACCTGAAAAGGCTTGCATGGTTACATATGCAACCAAAATAAATATCATTAGCATGTAATGCATTTCAGTGTCATATTTTAGGTTGGGGGGACCAGCGTAGAATTGAATTGTACCGTCCTATACTGTTGGTTTTTGCGTCATAAGGCAGCTTTGGAGTTCGTCGTATTGGCGTCCTAAGTTTCGCGGTACTGCCTCTTCCATTACTCCAATCGAACAACTGGCGACTGCTAAATTTGTTATTTGCACTGCAAGCACCGCGGCGTAGTGTGGTGTCTCGTCTAGCATGCAATCATCCCACACCAGTTCTATGCAATCTGGTTCGTGGAACATGCGCGTCCGTGCCAAAGCAACAGCAGGGCTTTTCGAACACGGACTTTATGAGTTAGGGGAGAACTTTGGTTACTTTAGTCTGAAAAGTACTCTCATGGGAGCTGAATACGTTGAACTTATGTACTCGTTTCTCCTTTTTTAAAAAGTGGGACATTTTTTGATATAATACGGCATGTAAATAGATGTAAGCATAATGCTACAATTTGTTGCGCAAATCCATTTTCTTGAGTTCTTTTTATTGTTTATATGACACTATGCAATGAAGTAGATGATTCAAATAACTAGGTGCACGTTTGTGGGGTAAAAAGAAAAGAGGTGCACACTCGCAATTTAAGAATGAAGTTTGGATTATTGTTAGTCGGTTTTTGCCTGACTCGCAATATAAGCTATGCTTTGTGGCTTCAGACATAGACAATCCATGTGCAGGCTTATTAAGTTCTACTCAGATAAAGCACCTGCGTATTTTAATTTCCATGCGGTGTAATGTGCACGTGTACCACGAACTGGCATATCAATTAAATAATGTAGATGCGTTGGCGTAATGCGACAGCTTAGGTTTCGCATTGGCACAAAAGGGGCTCGTGTTTCGACCGTGTAATTCATATTCTTGTGATCTTGGTGTTTCATCATTGCCGTCGGAAGTAGTCAGCCAAATGGGATCGCTCTCTCAGGCCAAGGAACTTAAAGAAGTTGTAATTTTCCAAGGTAATCCGTGGGAGCTTTCAATGTTCTTCACGACTTGTGAACTCCACTTCAGACTTTGATTTTACCATGAAAAGCAATGGCAGATAGGGGCTCATTTTTTACCAACGTCGTGATCAGATGCCTATTTTTTCTGCTTATGGATGACGTGATGCGATTTCAGATGACTTCTTTAGCGATTTGCACTCCATTTTTATGGTACCTTTGCTTCTAGGTTTAGTTATGTTTCTATTCATTTAAAACGAAGTAGTTAATTGCAGATCTATGTTGTACGATGGATGAGGTGCGTGCACCCTATCTGCTGTATTGTGTGTTGTGATGTTAGGAGCGTCTCCTGCTGACGAACCTGGAGACACTGGAGAAGGAGGCAGCTTTACGACAGCAGTCACAGGAGGCCTACAAGCGCAAGTCGGTGGAATGCCAGCAACGCGAGGAGGATCTGCGTGTCACTGTACAGAAGTACCTCGCCCAACTTAACGAGGCGCAGACCTCTGTGCAGGAGAAGGCCTCCGCCTACGAGCAGGTCTCTTTTCGTCACCAACGACTCCAGGTCAGTTGTTCTTTTTCTTTAACTCTTCTGTATTGTTTGAGCGTCTTATCGCGATTAGAAAGCTACTTCCTTTTTGGTCTGTGTTGTAAAATGTTTTTCACTCGAAATTGGGTAAATAATTGGGAGTAACTATTATCATTTAAGAAGTGAAGGCATTGGTTTTACATTTCCAAGTAGGAGTATTGAAATGAGCTTATGCAATGCATGCTTTTAGTATGTCTATTAAAGTTACAACAAAAATGATTTTCTTTTAAATGCAGGAGGAATACACTACTCTTAAACGCAAGTATGAGCGTTTGCGGAAGATCGAGCAATCGCACAATGCTGATGAGGTTCTTTTGGCCGAAATTCAAGATTACAAGGTATCTAAAATAGCTCTCCTGCATTTACTGCCTCTTTGCGAAGATTTTGTGCTTATCAGGTGCTTTGCAAATAAATTTGCCTCCTTTGCAGTTTTTATGGTCATGCGTTTGTATCTCCAGTATTAGTCATGGCCTTAGCTAATTTCTGTGATTTGGGCTCTGAACATTAGTACTTTAGTATTTTTAAATATACCTTCCTTTGCTTTCGGCAAAATCATTTCTTGTGGTCCATGGATAATTAGTCAGTCTATTCGATGATCGTGCGTTGATGATGTTTCCCGCTGATACGTATTTAAGGGCTTTGAAACCTTGGCTTTTTCGATTTTTCCTTGCCGACATTTGTCTAATTCATGCAGTGCATATGGCATGGGACGAATTTTGTTTATATTCAATTGACATTCATTGTCCTACGCCTGGCCAATTCAATGTACTCACAGAATCCAACCAGTTTTACGTCCCGACCCTTAGAAAAAGATAGCTGGTGAAAATATACATCAGGTTCGTGATCTTTTAATAGCGTGCCTACAATGTCCCTTGTATGGTGCTCATCTGTTTAAAATTCCTGAGAATAGGTGGGTGGGCAAATTGACAGGGAAGACTCGCAGTGCCAATAATTTCGATTTGTAAAGGTTTCTTACCTATCACTCCAATATTTTGTACAAAGGTCATGGGCTTACAAGGAATTGAATCTCATTTACACAAATCATACGTATGGGGGAAGCAGCATAAAATTTTAAGGGTATCGTTCTTCATCTGTATAAATCTTTTTTTGCGATGCCTGACGGAGCGATTGTTGTTCCAAGTCGTTCACTGCATTATTGACTCTCTGTTTTAATGGGTGTAGGAGCAGCTGGCCTGTCCGACCTGCAAGACACACAAGAAGGACGCCATCCTAACCAAGTGTTTCCACGTCTTCTGCCTCAACTGCCTGAAGACCCGCTACGAGACGCGCAATCGCAAGTGCCCCAAGTGCAATGCCACCTTCGGAGCAAACGACTACCATCGCATTTACCTCACCTGAACCTTCCCCCTTTCCTCCTCCTCCTCCTCCTTTCACTCTTGTACAGGTCCCTTTTACATACGTACACCTTAGATTAAGTAACAGTATTGTTGAAGCCAAATTTTATGTGAATTTCGTTTTCAACGTTATCAATATATGTGTATTCTTCAGTATATTTCTTCTTGCTTTGCATTTTCATATTTTAACCAGTTTTCGCTTGCGACATGAGAAGTATCACTAAAGTATACCAAGCCATTAACAAACGACTGGATTTTGGTTTGAGGTTTGCCTTAGATTCGTATGCTATTCGAAGTAATATTAAACATTATTTTTTAGAGGTCAAGGGTGGGTGCTCTGCTCATATCACTTTTAAGTTTGAGCGTGTTGACTGTTCACGCGGTCCTTAATTGGTTTGGCAACATCATGGAATAGGTAGGAACTGGATGTTTTGCTAGAATGGGTATCGATGCCATCCTCTTCTTTCAGTAATGATTGCCTGTATTAGGGTGTTTTTGACGCTACTGCTATATTGGCAGTAGCGGGAAACCAGGTGTGGTGCACTTGCTATGCTTTAGAATATGTTACTGTTTATGATATATTTGACCGCCATGTCTAATGCTTCTCTCCCCATTTGACATCAGTTATTCTATTAAGGCACCGACGTCTGATCATTTAGCATAGGATCGTCGAGATCGAATTCATACACTGCTGGTACCTTGCTTGTTGGAGTTCTTTTTGATGTGATATTGGTGTCAAGTTCTTTGCTTATCTCTCTATATGGCACTTCTGCTTGAATGACTAGAGTAGAAATGCTAATTGTTGCAATAATGAAGGAAATGTTGGCCTTGGTAATGCCCAACTCTTGCCGGTAGTTTGATATGCGATTTTAAATAACTACATTTACTTAGTGGTTTTGGTTACCTTAACATCTGTCGAACTATGTACTGAAATCTCCGGAGAAGTAGTTAGTTTCCAAAAGTGGTGGATGATAAATTTATCCAATAGAACACCAGCCACCAGAAAGTGTATTCCTGGATGGATGATTCGCTTATCCTAACTATTAAATTAACTATGTTTATATGAAGGATAGGTTGAATAAAAGAGTTTGATTTAAAGCTCGCATGGTTTATTTGTACATTGTAACCTGCAGTGTCGAAATTCTAATGCAATGGAATGACATTCGCTGTCGGAACAGTTTTTGGGTGGTACATTACTCTCCTGCCTCACTGTTAATACATAAGAGGTAATTTAGCTTTTATCACTTTCTTCATGGAACGGTACGCTAAATCTGGAATTAGCTGGATAATTGATGATGGATACCAATCCGTTGAATAGATGATGCAGAAATGTGTGAGTGGTCTATAATGGCTTTTCAAGGAATAACCATTAAGTATATAAGGACCACAGGTAGTAGCGCGTAAGGTGTGGCCGACCCTGATGCAATTTTCATGGAGGCCGGAAAGTGTAATACTGCGATTGTGTACGTGACACCATTTGTAAGCAAAACAAATGTCAGCAAGCTCAAAGGTAATCTTTAGTATAAATAATTATTAAATCTAATTTTAAATTTACTTTTACATTTGGACTAACAGCGCCCTTAGTGTAAGCTCATGTTATTGTACATTTAAGGGAGGATGTTACCAGCAGAGGTTTTTGATACTTCATTCGTAGTGATGCTTCAATTTGTCACGTTTAGAGTCAGTTTAATGCCTTTTTGCCTCTAAAAGTAGGCCAGAAAGGAAAAGGCTGCGAAAAAGTTGGTGCGCTTTTCTACTGCAAATCACGATCATCTTTTCTTATGCTTTAAATTGATGCTCCCGGGTCCCGCACTTTTGTGAGACTGTGAATTAGCACAGAAACCTACGCTCAGACATTAATAGGATTCCCTGCACATTAAGGCGCCAGTTCGGTGCTTAGAGTGCTTCTCTTTGTTGTGAGGCCTTCATCCGGTGCATGTGTATAAAGAAGTTAATAACCTTCAGACGTGCTTTGTTGTGATTCATAAGATGGAAAGCCTTTACTTCCAGCCAGCTAAAGTAGCTGCTTAACCAAGTGTCTAACTGCTTCCTGTGATTTTCAAACATCACTCCACCCAGTGAAACAATAGTTAGTCATGTGTTGGAGGTGATAGATCTGAGAGACCCAGAAGAGTTTTAAATCTACTCAAACACTAGTCACGAAATATTGAAAACGCAAAAAACCTACTCTTGTTCTAACAAGTAGCAAACAAGTATCTACTGACGAATGTGCTTTTCAAACTGTAGTGGTAGTCTCACTTTTGGTTTTTAAAGAATTGTTTTCTATGGTAGGGCAGCGAATTCTGTTGTTAATAGTGTTTTTATCTCCATTTTGCCTTTAACATTCACGAACTAGAGAAAATGCTGGAATAGTAAACGCCGCTTCACATCTCAGTAAGTTCCATTGGCGAAAATTCGCGGTTTAAGTAACACTCATTTAATCCACATATGAGTCAAATTCCGCGGTCTTTCTAACATATTTGGTTTTACAAATATAAAATACGCACATATTAAGGGAGTTTCCTTGCATTGTTTCCCAACAATTGAGGTATCCAACTGTAACTTGCTACATTCGTTCTGCATTAAGTGGTGCAAGTATTCTATTCGACAGTGATATGTTGATTGCTTATTTGACATGAATTAAACCACCTATTTGAAGGCCGGATGTTAATAATTAACTCGAACCATGGTGGGATTCAAAATAACTCTCGTTTCTTGGGTTACATTTTCTAATGACATTGTCAAAATTGCTCCTAAAACTACCCTGACATATATGTCAGCGGCTGTTAAAGAAGTCGATTGTTACGTGTCCGCTAAGGTGAGACCTAGAGGAAAATACAAATTGGTGAAAAGGATTAGTCGGACACTCTTCTACCGCTTCAACTATTTTTATAAGTGTGCAGGGAGGAGGGCCCCATCCGACGGTAACTGAATCATGGCTAATGATTCATTGGCGCCTCTACCAATAAAGCCTTGTTGCATCCTAACGACAAGACTACTAATCAAGGCAACCGGTATGCTATTTTTTGTTAATTAACCCAAATTAGTCTATTTCATGCCCACAATGTATTTTTATGGTGCATTGTTGTATGGCCCAAGACCGCTCTCCTTTGCTCCTACTGTGTATTAGTGTGTCGTTGATTCCGTTTAGCATAAGGGATGGGTACCTTGATTTAGCGTGATCTTCATCTGCGTCCCCGTTTACAGCTTCTTATTGTAGCACTACTTACAAGTAGTAAACATAAGAGTTTATAAACACGTATTGCAACCTGCTCACCTTTGAAATTGCTAGTTCTCATGATTCGACCAGCTTTGATCACAATTCTGAGTTTAAATGGGAGACTTATTAATTCCCGCCAATAATTGCACTTCTTTGATGGGGATCAAACAAAATTTTTATTCCCAGTATCAAAGTGGCAGAATTGCTGTCGTTTGAATTCATGGTTATAAAATATGAATATTACTGAAATAATAAACCCGCTGTCAGCATAAAATATTAATCTATATTAAATTAAAAGATTGTGAGCTAGAAAAAAAATAAGAGGAGATTGAATTAAAATGAATATTGTTTAGATTGTAAGGGTTTTGTGAGCACGTTTCCACAGTAAAAGCCATCTTCAAATGGTAGTAAACACTAAATCCAACGTCACAAAATGCGTCATATTTTAGAAATCCACCTAGTAGTAGTCAGGCGACCCTTTGAAGAGACCAAAAACATCCCAGAGTGGGCGACTGGTACGTCTAGATGGAGGATAGGTGGCCATTTTCAACAGGACTACCATTTAGTTTCTGGGTCGTCGCTGACTCACCACACTGCAACAGGACCACAAATGGCGTCTGGTGATAAATTGGATTGAGTTGAGTGCCAGTTTGCAGTGTCATTTTGTCACTCTTGGGCATGAAAAAGTTCCTCCACTTTTTTTCGGGGAGGTAACATCCATGCTTTCACCACTTTGCACAACTGTTCCCCTTCACGTGAGGATTTTTGCAGAATTTGATGAAACTCTTATTGCACTGACCTTCAGCCAAGACAGAAAATACGTACATCATTCATAAAAGGAATCTTTGGCACCCCATATTTTCCTCGATGTCAGAATGAATCTTGTTACAACATAAACATAGGCGGATGGCCCTGTCTTCGAAGTAGGCGCACAAATTCTAGGGACTGAAAAGCCCTCCTAGCTAAATATACGGTTGAAAAAGAATTAATTTGCAAAAAAATAATAAGCAGCCGTGCATTCAATGGAGAAATGGTAAAACAATTACAAGTACAAGATTAAAAACTATTCCATAAAGCGGATTTCCCTTGGAGACGGCAATTTTGCCTAACATCACTTTTGCACCGACGAAAGTCCCATGCAAAAATAACTTCTACCGTTTTTTGTATTTATTCAACTGAAAGAGATGGTTGAACTTTCAATGGGTTCATTGGCGCACCATGAAGAAGCGCCGATACTTGGAAGCATACGAAGTCAATAAAACACCCGTTTTAAAAGTTGATGACTAAGAAAAAGAATTCCTCCCATTAGCTGACTATTTCGTAAAAGGGAGTTTTGTACGGTTATTTTTCAATTATTTCCAAGTGTTCCTCCACGCGAACGTCATTTTTCATAAGATGTTCTCTCAAATTGCGTTGCCAGTGGGGTGAAACCAACTTCACCAACTGGTTTCTTCATATGTATTGCAAGGATTTCAATTGTGGGGTCCTGAGTCACCTTTGAAGTTGTAAGAAGTCGCGTTAGTACGGAAGGGCCGAAAGGCGAAAGGCCTGGGCAGAGGGCCATATCACGGAGCAGAAGTGCAGCCTCTGGAGTCCGAAGTGACCGTATTGTTAAACATGCAGTTAAGTCGAGTTTCAAATCACTACACAAGTGAGCTTTTATTAAATCATGACATAACTAAATATGCTTTTCAAAACTTCACTCCATTGCCCCCTTGCCGTAAAATTGGAATTTGTGCAGTGAAGAAAAAACCCGATATATCTTCACCTCTGGAGATTTCATTGGTATAAACAGATGAATTAGGAGACCTCAAACCATTTTTATGAACCTGTTACCCATCCTACCAAGTAATCGCCTGAAAATCCCAAGAAGACATTTCTTTGTAATATCCATAGTTATGTGTTCAGTTTAAAACGAAACGCTGTAGACTGTGAGTATATGATTTAGGGACTGTTTTAAAAGGTATCGGAAGCAATTCATGTAATAATAATGCGATTCATTTTAATTTATTGCTCCGCTCAGTTACCTTCTCCAGCCGAGCACAAGCGCGTTGGTCATCTTATGTGTACGCACATTCTGCCCTTCTTTTTTGAGACTTCCGGTCTAAGCTGTCGGCTTTGTCTTCGGGCATGGGTGAAATTGCTCGTGAAAATATTAAGCCAGAGCCACTTCACTTTCTTATTTGGCTGGGGCGGAGCAATTTCCCAAAGGGCGCATGCAGTGATTGACCTCGAAATAAGATTTCATGCCTTAGTAACGCACTGCTAACAATGCGTGGAGCATTTACTGCTTTGTGGTTTATGTATGAACAACGTTTGCTTCAATCTTTGAATTTCCTTTGCATTCAGCGCAGATTATTGTAGCTAAAACTGATAATATGGATTCAATATTTACCTATATTTCGAGCTGAGTAGGGAAATTATTATTATTTTTGCCTACTGGTAATCTACTTTTCATCTCAAAAATTTATGTGGAAAAGGATAAAAGTTTTTGAAACAAGCTGAGGTCATTCATCTGAAAATAGAAATTTTCCATTCACTTGATGCAGAGCATTTTCTTTGGTATTTTAATGATATTTACCTCCAGATTGCATTGAAGACTTACGCTAAAACCGGTGTCCCTCTCCGTAGTTCACACCTAATAAGTATGTCTTAATTTATATCATAGTATCTCAATTAATTTTAAGTCATCAATTAAATGCATCTAATTTTAAACTTCGGTTCATTGTCGAGTTATTTTTTTCTGAAGGCGTGGAAGTAAAGTTTAACAGATGAATGTTATGCAACCGCTAGGATTTTCTCACATTACCCTAACAGCAATAAAGAGGAGGAAGTCAAGGTCTTTGGGGCCGATTTAAATTTCAGCGAGGCATGGAAGTTTGGACGTGTAACTGTCATTGACCTCAATCTAGAGGAAAGGGGTGGTCATAACAGGCTAATTAGTGGGACATCGGGTGTACAGATAGCCTGTTTCAGGGTGGGTCATTTACCAGCTGACCACAAGCGTTTTCCCCGTCCTCGAGGTTGTGGTTCAGGCGACTTCCCCGCGGCAATAATACCTCTTTCAGAATCCGGTGCCAACCCTCAGAAATACCATTTACTGTCCTCTTCTTTTTCTATTCGTACAGAAGTGACCACTCTCGTCAATGTTTAGTGTAAGATTAAATGGAGCTTTTGGGTGTGTTAAAATAAGATCACCTCCATTATTTTAAAGTGGACAATTTATTGTTAACAGTGCCTCTCAAGTGTATGCAAGCGAAAGCCGTTTAGTGCATGTAAACGTAGTAGGTTTTTTTCGTAATAGTGATTTAATTTTCTCCTAGGGGTCATATGAAATAAATTTACTCCCATTTCCTAATCTTCCCAAAGTAAAAATACTTTATAATCTGGACTTTTTTCAAGAATAGAAAATTATGAAAATGATATTTCATCGGATAAGCAGATAAAAGATTGAACTAGGAGGAAATTATAAGAGCCATAGCAATCGAGAGACACGTATCTGTTTATGTTGCTTCATTTGCCAAATTAGTTTGCAATTGGCAAGTCCGGTTTCACGCTCAGATGAAATTAAACTGATCAAATGATTATACTATTAACAGGAATAAGTTAAAGTAATCTTAAATAAATAAAAGTAGTACTACTTCCCTACCAATTTAAGCCAATTCTCTAAATGTTTGTATGGATGTTGAAATCTCTGAAATAAGTGGAATTGAATATCATTACGTTGGACATGGACTCAACAAACACAACACTTGAATTTACATTTTCAAAAGCCACTCACAAAAACATTTTTCAGTAATGAAAACCAGCTTTGAAATCGTTTTAATAAATGCTTTTGAAGTAAGTAAAGAAGACTCTGTGCATGCAAAGAATTGGAGGATGCATCAGTTTGCCTTCGTCCACAAAGTCAGTACCTTCGATATTTACACAAAATATTAAAACTTTCCTTGACACCGTGCAGTGGTTTGAACACTTGAGATTGCTTCTGACCGTGGCCCGCAATTCGCACTTAAAAATTCGGATTCGGTTATATTGGTAGTTATCGCCAAATAACAAATTGTCATTGAATAAAAACATTGCAATATTAATGCATTTTGTAGAAATCATCAAAAGGAGCTAATCAACGCTATTCTAATCATTTGACTACAAAAACATTTCGTTTAAGTTTAAAAAATTAAGGGTCTTTGAGATCTGAGCTTTCGAATTAGTTAATTGACAGAACCTTGGCTAATCGTAAACAAATCAAATAGAAATAATGAATATAAAGTGCGAGCAAGCGGTATTGTTAAAATTTAATGCCAACTTTAATAGCTTCCATGACCAATTGGCGAAAAACTCAACTCTGTAATAAGCACTTTATGCAGCGTAAAATGGACAAAATTGTACTTATTTAAGTGGTATCATTGCGTAAATTGCTTTAGCGCTAGCAGTTAGGAGGTATGGACAAAGTTAACCTTTGTCTAGCAGGAAGTCACACAACAAAGCACTGACGTGAAGATTGCTAACTGGTTCATATACTATAAAAACACTAGTTGCAATCTTGTCAATGATATTTCGTACAGAAGCATTTTTAAGAACATCTTATTACCTTTTCTGATTTGGATGCAATGAGGGCAGTAGTTCGCTTAGATTCCATCAATTTTTTGCGCATTTACACCTTACAGAATTATATCAGATCAGCACGAGGCACAACTACCATCAGGTTCAATTTTTCAATACTGTCACTTTGTGCTGATGAGAGGAAAGGTGAAAAGGTTTTCTTTGAGACTGTGCAATAACAGGTTTCACATTAATCGCTTAAGTACACACAATCTATAACGTAGAATAAAGCAATGTGTCGTCGTGAGGACGGATGTTGGACACTATGCTATACAATTGAGATATTTGCTTTCATCCACCCAAACAAACCTAAATTCATTTATGCACATTCATATTTTGATGAGCAATTTCCGCAGACAATTTCAGCTTTTTAGCTTTGTAAATAACATAAATGTGTATCTTAAAACAAACTGACTTTCTACCCGTGCATTTTGCATACATCCCTGGAGAGTCTGCACAAACGTCAAAACTTTGAACTTGTACATATCGAAACAGTTATAGCCTGTATTTCAAAGACCTGTGATAATTAATCAGCTAAACAAAGCTATACAAAATGCCTAGACGCAATTGCCATTTTTGGATTGTTGGGCCCCCAAAAGCAAATGCAATCTTCCTGGCGAAAGCGACCTCCCAAATCATTAATCTTGTCCTTAGCATCTTCAAAGGAGTTTAAAAAATAATTGCTCCCTTATGATAACAAAGATTAAGCTAGGCTCTATGTTGCAAAACGGAGTAGAAATAACTCGTCGGGAAAAACTCTATAGATATGTGCAAACGCCCCAAACACTTATAAGATTTAACTGCGCTTTGAAAATCAAAAACTATGAGTGTTAAATAAGACAAGATATTTTTAAGAAACAAATAAAAAAGCCACTTAAACGCATCTATTTTTTAGTTGAGCCGGGGTACCAGTGGCGAATTTTTCTATGTGGTGGTTCTTTGAAACGAATCCAGTAATATAGAGAAAGAGGTTCAAAAACCGGCATTGATAAATGACCCTAGTTTCGTTCCGTGTGCTTTAAGAAGTCTTGAAAAAGCACTGTAAAGCATTTTGTTATGCTAAATGGTGACAAATACCAAAGACCCTTAGTTGTCTCTTCCCGATTTAATCCATTATCCGCAGTTGCTACATGTCTCAGGAATCGCACTAGATAACTACCACTACACAATATTAAGGACTATCTTTATGAAGTCTCGTTTCCCCTCTTTTTGCAAGCAATTTTTTGCAATTTGCTTTGTAGATATACCAATGTAAGAAATATTTGAAGATTCCATTGTCTCCCACCGGCAGTATTGGGCTGTATTTAAAACGGAGCGTTGTTTTTTCATAATTAAAAATCTACTATTCATTTGATACCTTAAGCACGTTTATAAGTCATTGTTTACGGAGCTGGAATTGTTTTAATCAATGGTAGGTGATGTAGCTTCAGCGGGTTGACCAGTATGCAACTTGGACTTCACCCTTAAACAAAATTCAGTAATGCTGTTTTGTGGTGAGCGCAAAGGTGAGTCAGACCTACTCAGCGTCCTGATATTTATGGTGGGCGTTAACCTGAGATTTGTCGAAGCAAGGTAGGTTGCTGTTGCCCGTCTCCACCCACCGGCGTTCCACTCGCAATGACACAGAAATGCTTTTGACTTTTTATGTCAGTTATCGAGGTGTGGTGATGTTTTTCGGTTCACGCGGCCAACTGGGTCCTAGTAATTAGCCACGCTATATGACGAGGTTAATGATGGCAGTAACCAAACAGGAGCATTCGCACATCATAGTGTAACGTTCAAGAAGTATTTTGCTAAAAACAAATCGGTTTAGGTGATAAACATTTTGAAAGAGCCTAGGCTGCTAAAATGAGGATTATCGATAATAAAGCATACGCTCCCACTTTCGAGCTTGCTAAATACAAATGAGTATTCTGGTTCGGGAACTGATCAAATAGTGTATAAATTGGAGAGAAATTCAGTTTTGTTCACTTTCACAAAAAAGTGTCACCGAATGGGTCTCGTCATAGCCAAAAAAACATCCGCATTGCGTTAACCATAACTGTTTGGCTGGTTTTTAGTACTATACTTTAGGGAGTACTAAATAGTTAAATTAATTTTACTGAAAATTTCTGGGGATTGACCACATATAAAATGTGTAAGATCAAGTTGTTAACTAGGTGCAAGTCTTCTTGCTATGAAAACGGTTGTTTGCACCTTGCAAAACTCAAAGTCGCAAATTCGCCAATCTGCCATAAAATTGCATCACAGCCTAATAGAGCACTAGAAAAATAAGTTCTGCTGATCTTAGCCCACAATCTGTTTAAAAAATCCATCCTGCAATAATTATTGAAAGCAATTTTTGTAAAAGACTCATCTTTTTAGACTTATGACAATAGCTAGTCTGCTCACAGGTTAGAGTTAATGCATCGAAGTGTGAATTCTTCTTATTACGGCTCTGGCAAATACACCTCAATTTTTCGGCAGACTTATTAGCATTTTATACAGATTTCCTAGATTCACTTCATTGCAAAGTATGAAGCTACAAACATCATCTAACTTGAGCAAAGTACACATGGAAGTTGACAAAGGGTCAAATAAAAGTTTGAAAAAATACATGATTCTGAGGTTTAGGATGATCATTTAGTTTTGACAGTCAAATCCTCGAATAGGTTCCCTCTTTGCAATATGAATATCATTGTGTGGCCTCGCTGTCCTAGGGTGAGTTAAGGGCGGTTCAAACTTTACCCCACGTTCATCCGCAGACACCCGACGTAGATGTGTGAGATAGCAATTAGCCCTAAACTTTTGCGTTCATGCAATAAACTTAATGCAATTCTCATTGTTTGTCCAATCTTGATTAGCGATCTGAGAGACTACTTTGATGTAGAAGATTCCACCGGTATACTCGATATTGAATGAAAAAGTAACACTAAAAACGCCTGCACATTCACTTCAATTTCAAATTCTGACCATAGAAAATATCTTTTGGTAAAATGTTAGGGCACTGTTGATGAGAAACCCCTCAATGTTTTAAATTTAAAATCTGCTGCGAATTCTCGGGTCAGGCGGCAGCGTTCTTTTTATTTGTTAGTTGTTTTCAATGGCAATTCCCTGCGTGAATAAATACATCATCTAAATAAATGTATCACTATCTCCCTCTCCCTCTACTAACATACATTAATGACAACATATCACTTCTTGGAACCTCTCACCATTATGGGTAATGTTCTTCGGACAGATCGTTTCATCATCTTAAAAGAAAGCTGACATCAGAATGTATCCTACTGACTACGTAAAATTTGGAGGTTATTGATGCTTTAGCAATTTTATTTTGCTCGTCAGCGGATTATGTTCAAGAAGTAACATAGCTGACTGCATTATATACGTTTTTCATTATTATTAATTTTTCTGATCAGATTAAAAGGATAATAGTGGTCTTTGGCGGACTATCCTATTTGCATTTTCACAATTTCTGATAATCAAACATGGCCATCACGAGCTACAATGACACAAATGTGAGTTTCGTATTTTTAATCTTAAATAGAAAAATTTACACGCCAGTTCCCGTACTGCTACATTACTGGGACACAGTCAAATAGTGTCATGTTTTCACATACAATGATGCACATTAGCTTTTAAAAGCAAGCTTGAATATTCTTTCATTTCGAGTTTTGTTTTGACTAAGAAAAAACTGCAATCAATTTGCTCCGTTTAGGTGTTAAGGATAACAAGTTTTCTTTGAAAAGGGTTGCACAAGTGTACAAAGCACAACCATTAGGGGGGTACTACTGATGCTAGCGAAATTCCAAAACAGCACTTACAAAAGAAAAGTGATTAGTCACTGAGTATTAGTGGGAGTGAACTATACAAACGCAGCATTACCTCAAACAGTCGCGAGGTTAAGTTCCAGAAATCATAGCGGATCAGAAGGAATCGCGAATTTTCAGTGCGGATCAATAAACATGATGATAAATATATAACTCTAGAACTTACCCCTAAACATGATCAAAGTCATGCTCCCAAAGCATTTCAATTCCATTTGAAAGTTGGCCCATAACATTGCCCTGGATGAAGGCAAATAGATGAACGCAGAAGTAGAGTATATCATCTCCCAACGGATATTTGCCACACTATCGCACAGTACGCTATACCAATGCTACCCCACAGGACACTAAATCATTGGCTGACGGTTACTTTCGCAATCACAGAAAAGCAAAACCAAGTAACAAATGGGGCAATAGACTTAATGAATGCCTTTCCTTTGCCATTGTCAGGAAGACGGGCTAGGTGGCTTTCATGGCATGGAAGTCAAAAACTACTTTACACCTCAACAAAGTAGAGAATGCATGTACAGTACGTTGAGGACACAGATATTCAATCAATTTAGAATTGCATAAAGGTCTCTTGATGCTTCTCTGCAACTAAATAAATTTCGCTGATCTGTGAAAAATCGCAATCATAAATTAATTAGGTTTTAATGGAAATTGCGCGAATTCCGAAAAGCGAATATATCGGATTTACTGCACTAGTATTAATATGCCCTTAGGAGCCTCCATTGGTATAGTTTAGTAGTTTAAAATATTGGTTATCAAAGTACCAGAGTGAGTGCTTTTGGCTTTTCGATAAATAATTACACTTGCAAAAACATCCAGCCAAAGTCATGCGCTGTTAATAGGCCTATTACCCGGTCTAGCTTCACATTACAGCAGTTTGTATCTGAAGTACGAAGAAAATCCACTGTTTAAATATTTTCAGTGGAAACGGGAATAGAGCACGTGAAGTATCTCAATAATGATCAGTGAGATCAATGTTGAATCGACGCATTATCAACACCCAATCATACGTACACGTTGAATTCATATAACAAGATGTTACAAATTTTGTCACTTTCACTATAAGACTGGCAAGAATTGCGGCTACTCAAGGTTACCGGAGGTTTTTCCGAACACTTCACAAACTTGCACTAAAAACCTCGCTAGTATATTTTTCCCGTTTTCTCAAGCGACTTTTGCATTATTTGCTTGGTTTATTTGTTTCAATTTTGATCGCTGTTCAAGGGTGTTTGAAAACGAATATTTTTTAAAGTTTCGCTTAGGAGATTTAAGTCGATTTTCCGATTGAACAATTTCAACATAGGTCTAAGTTAGGTTTACAATGGAATTTTCACAACTTTCTGCAATATGAAATATGTGACAGCTGTAGTGTGAAATGTGTGGAACTTGAGGCCCTGATTAATTCCATAAGGCCGAGTGACAAACAACTAATGAAAGCAAAATTAACAGAAGCAGAACTTTCTCTAGATATCATGTTTGCAAGGCACTTAAGTTAAAAAGTGTAGTTTTCTTACTAAAATAAATGTCCCTCAACTACTTTGACACTGTCTCAGGATGAGCGTCAAAAACGCCTAAAATTCAACGTTTTTATCGACTTAAATACTCTGGATTAGCTGTTATATAATATGGAAAAAAAAGTAAAACTTAAAATTGACTTTTTACTTTATAAAATAGAAGGCTAGTGTTAGGTTTAAGTTAGTGCAAATGGAGTAAAATTCTTTTTGAACTAGCTCTAACACTTTTCCCTCCGAGACTTTCCTAAAGACTGTAGAAAACAGTACTCTGGCAGGATATGTATAGTCGACGTACAAATGGGCCTGGAGCCTACTGGCACGGCTTAAAGGCCAGACCGCCTGGCAGAGGTACAATGGCGGAGCCCTCGAGTGACCTGATGCCGAAACCTACAGTTGAACAAACACTACTTTAGCATTACATTAGTACAGTTACATTGGAAATTCAAAATCTTGAGGTATGCCGTAAGCGGCTATTCTTTTGCACGGTCATGTAGGGATTTTGACCAATATTGGATGTTTTTCACAAGTAGTGCAATTTATGTCTGCAGTCATTTTTAGCTTAAGTCGCAGAATCCCTTGAACCAAAAATTATAATGTGGTTGGAAATGTTAAAGTTCGTTATACTTAATTGCAACAACCCCCCGATTATGTTAGCAGAGTTTAAAAATATACTATGCAGTTAAAGTGCTTCCAACTCTGAGGTAAGCAAAACCCCCCAGTGGCAACAGACGCCATACTTGAGTTTTATGCTTTTCTGATGAGTCCCTCAAGTAAAAGAAGCTCTTTAGATATTAAGGTTGTCCAGACATTTAGCATATTTGATTTAAGAGAAATACGCAAAAAATGGTTAATTTTATTCTGTGTAACATGGATTATGGATCCTACCAATTACTTACCTAGAAGAAACGAGCGACAAAATGAGACCTTATCCGGTACGCCTATTTGACCCTTTCTTGAGACGACTAAATTACTAATTTTCATTATTACCTGAACCTCCAGCCAAAACTTATACGTTGCCAATGTGCCCAGTACGTAAGATGAACCTTAGACTTCAGTCCGGGCGCAAATGGATTCAAAGCAATGTCAATATTTGCAATGCAATTAACAGTCATATCTAGTGCAGACCGAATTGTCAATATGGATTTAATGGATATTCGTAAGGATTTGCTCAACATAGTTTTGTGGACAATAAAAATCAAACACATACTGTATTGTAACCAAAAATTGTATGCGATCAACCTGAAGTTGTACAAATTTTTAGTTCTCTTTTGTTAAAGGAGGCCGTGCTGGTTGCTGTTTTTTTAAGAACAGCATAAGAGTGGACACTTCGCTGATGCAATACGTGCGACCCCTACTTACGGTATGGAAATAATATTTTTCTTATTAACTAGTATGTACATAAGCCAAATTAACTGTCATATCCACTTACTACTCAAATTCATCTGTTTCAGTTCTACCTAAATCGAGTTTATTGAAGTGATGGCAAAGCATGCGGTTACAACACTAACAGACCACGTTGTTGAATGAGAGCGAAAGTATTGTTTAAGTAAAAATTTTTCTCTTAGCACATGTCAAGGAATTTGCTAAATGCTGCAGTTAAATGTCATATTTTTGCTCAAGTTTGGGGAAAAATGACAGGAGTTCTGAGTAATCAGCCCCTAATACTTCAAAGCTAGGTTGTTGTTAAAACTCATTGACAACTTTTACCACTGGGGAACAATTACTTATTTGCACACAACAGTACGCCAAGTAAGATACGGAGATGTCAGAGATATTTTGAACTATATTTAATACTGTTGACTAGAAAGATAAGATGAGCACAGAAGTCTTTACCAAAAACAACTCTAAGTACAACTGATTTTAAGTATGGTCAACCTGCAGACGGGTCTTTTATATGACGTAACATTTTGGTAGAGCGTTGAGTAGCTCAATGAATATTGCTGAAAGTTTGCTGTCCCTAAGTTTCATGGCATTTACGTGCGCATGTTTTTGTTAATAAGCTAGTTAAATTGAGTAGAATTTCGGTTTTGTGACCGAAATAAGTCATTTTGGTCCCTTTAAACAAAATTCTTTTAACTTAGAGTTTCATGGCAGTCAAATGACTCATTTTAGAATAATCACATTTTCCATTGCCCACCAGTCTTGCTTTTGGTCAAATAGAGCGGAACTAAATAATTTCACTTGTCCTATTGCATGTCAAAAGAACCGATCGGGAGGTTTTTTGGAATATCGCCTGTCCACTTTATTTTAATGAAGAGATCAAAAATACTTTAAGCACCCTTAGACTCATTTTCTAGTTTTGGTTTCAAGGCAATTTAATAAACATTTGCCATCCATTTAACTCTAAAGTGGATTAATTATCTTAGGTTAACTTATTTTAAATAAGTGATTTCCATAATTTGTTTCTATTCGGTCATTATAGAGCTCGATAACAAATAAAAATAATTAAAATTGGGAAATGCAGGAAGCTGACAGCGAGTTTAAACGCAGATATTTGTTTGCATAGAATTTGGAAGTCGTTTCCAGTTTTTTTGGCTTATCAATGGTGTTTCATAGCCAATTTACCATTCCTTATCTAAATTACCGAAATGGATCTGGAATGGTAACATGATGATTTATTCATGCGACTCAACCCTTAAAATGTTTCGATTCTGGTGATTTATTTCTTTATAGCCTTGTAGTCGTGCTGAAGAGAACTAATATTTTTTACCAAATTCTTGATTAAGGAGACAAGTGAACTATAATTTGGTAGAAAACGAAGCCACATTGCAAAATGGGTATCTTGAGTTTACGAGCACCGAATTCCTTTTCAAGTCCCTCTTTGATTACAGCTGGTAGTACATGAAGTACCCAGTACAAAATGTAATTTACAATAAGATTATTTTACTGGGACAAAGAAGCAGTTAATTAAGAGCATGGCAGATGTATGAAGCTCAACAGCCAAGTGGGCAATAGAATTCCGAGTTACAACTGTCAATTGGTCTGAGCTGATTTCCTACTTACTGATGGGCTTGCAATGATGCAAATTAGCCTGCTGCACGTTTCCAAAAATGGCAAAAGGAGCAAATATAAAGCAGTGAAAATTTTGTTATGTTTAGCTATTATGACTAAACATAAGACCGAGACGCATTATATCGGATTAACATTTAAAGTTCACCCAAAGGTCACCGCCTCCTATGTCATTTTCAAGAATCAGCAAGAAAGGCATAAATTTAAAACAACTGTTATTTTGAAAGGAAATCTTAGTGTTTAAACGTGATAAACAACGGCAAAAACCACTAAGTTTAAACAGTGATACTGTATAGTTACGACAGGCAAAAATCTGGATAAGCATTACTGTTTCGAGCTTTTTCCCCAACGAAATGACTCAAATGCTGAGGTATGACTGTGAGCACCCGAAGTTTGGTTAAAGAAAACCGAAAATCTGTTTTTAAAAAGGACCATTTGAGTACGTTTAACGTAGATACATCCCAAGACAAATCGGCTATGAAATTTTAGGAAATCAAAAAATCTTTTTTTACTATAGATGCGATTTTAAATAATTTAGTTAAAGTGATGTACTACGTTTTTACGGTTCATCTGGTATTTGAGCATTCAGTATTCGGGTATGTATTTTGAATGTGCTAAACATTAATTAAGGTTAAACCCTAACATCTAAATGAATTAGGACCTAAACGAAAGTCAAAGATTGAGATAATCTTTGTTAGATATTCAAAGTGAAATGTAAAATTCACACCATCGCTGGAGAGTCTGGGCTTTCTTAAACCATAAGTTCCTCTACAGCTAGTTACACCCGAAGCCATTCACAAGTATTTAACTTATTTTCCATTAGTAATTTTAGACCTGCATACTTTCACACAACTTTGGAGCTTATTCACCAACTTTAACCTAACTTTTTCAGCTCCCCGTCTACCCTTCGCGTTGATTTTCGAAACATTCAGGTGAGGCGCAGCAATGTTTCTTCTTGCTACAGCGCCGGACGTTTAAATGGTGAGTTAATTTTTAATAGACAGGTCTACTGCGAGAATTCTGTCTTCTCTCGCTTTTAAGAGAAAGTAGGACTGAACATCGTAAGTCTTTTTTAGCGTTTGTCTTGATATCTCAGTGCTGAATCACGGTTTTTTTGGCGACTTTGGGGGAATCTGCCTTTTTTGGCATAATGCTGCTGCACACAAGAATGCAGCTTTTAAAGTTAAAGTTTTGTTAAATAACAAAGTCATGCGCTATCTGATGACTTAATAGATGTTTCTTCCATGTAACATACAAGGTATTTTCATCTGAATCTAAGGTGAGGTGCAACATTCCCAAAAGATGTGGCTTTTTAGGAGTCGTCCTAGGGATTTTTAACTTTTTCACAACAATTATTCTGTGTCCCCTATCAAAAAAATAATTTCTTGATGTGCACTAATAACTTCGCTTTGAAAACACATTATAGTTGCAGGGATGACATTCCAGATAGGATCTTGATTTCTGGCACTAATCCGTCTATCAGAGCCCATTCTCAAACGCACATTGGGTCTAGTCTATGCGAATTCACAGTGAAAGTCCGTTCTTTGTTTTGTTCTTATTCATTATCAGAGAAGTATGTACGGACATTAAAAACTGGCTTGTCGTAAGTAGGAGGGTCTGCCTTTCCTTCACTATTTTATTTCGAATGCCACGTCTTAGTAATACAGGAAGTTTAGTGAAAGTTAACAGCTACTTACTTAAAGCGCTTAATCAAATGCACAGCATTAACGTATGACTTCATATTTTGCCCAATTTGTCTAATTCAAACAGGAGTATTTATGGCTACCACATCACTTACTGCTCATTTATATATAAGAAGGTAAACCACGCGGCAGAGTTGATCATTCGTTGTATTGTTCCGGCTGCGATCATTCCTAAATAAATGATGAGAAGGCGCAAGTATGTATCTACTTTCATCTCTAGGTAAATAATTCAGAAAACGAAAAATTTATCTCCCATCTGCTTTATCATCTGTAGTATCTGTAAAATCCGTTTTAAAGCCAGAGATTTAACCAGGTATTAGTAGAATCCATGAAAAGTAGCCGCATTTTCCATTACATTTAAAGTGCCATACGTGTGGCAAGTATGCTTACGAAATACCAACACTTTGGAGCTAGCCAATGGACCACTTCATTTTCATAAATCCCCAAAAATCTACTTTACATTATGATAGCTCATTCAACATTTAACATAATTTAACACTTTCTGCTGGCCTGCTTAATCTATTGTCGGTAAAACTGTTGTTCAGGAATGGGTTTCAAGAGGTATCTCTTATCAGTGAGAAAACAGTTTCCCTCAATTATTAGATCGGATCAACGTTAATGAGTTAGTAACACATCACAGTATTCGCCATATTTTGACAAATGGGACAAACTTCACATATTGTAGCAATACGCCCTATATGCTCATCCTTGTGATGCATTGTTTTACGAGAAGTTTAATATCTGTTAATTAAGTGAATGGCGTTTTAGTTTAAAATATATTCAACTAGAATTGGAAGGCCAATTCTACACAGCCATATTCGTGCGTGTATTCTGACTTAAATTTGGACTCATGAAAATAATATTATTAAGATCTCTTATTGACCCCTTTCTGTTTGCGGATTCTTGTTTTCTACAAATTTTACAAGCACAAAAACCAATTAAAAAGTACACAATCAGCTCGAGTAGGCTGTTGTTTGTGATTGTTCGCCTCGCTACCAACCTTAGGATGATTCGAATTCCCATTTCTCATTTTTAGATCCTTGCAATTTGTCCCGGATCGCACAATTTAATTTCTAGTAGGCCTTCACCCATGCCCAGATGATAAACGATTTCGAATTCTAAACCAACTTGATCTCCCCCATTCCATTTAGTCCTATTTATTTATTGGATATGGTGCATTAAAAAAATGTTTTTTTCTAGTGCGGGGAGCAACAACTTAACCAGAATGGAAAAAGTGCGTTAATTTTGTCGGTATGGACCGTTTGAGACACCCAAAATAAATGATTGTGAGTTTTTTTGAGTCGAAAAATTTAGCGGAGAGTTGGATGAGGGTTTAGTGCGTCTTCTGCTAACGACTGAATTTTCATCTTATTTTGTACTTTAAGAATTAACATAACAAATGAATAACACCCCAACAATAACGTTTTGCTTCCGGGTCCAGCTAGGCATACTTAAGATGCATTCCTCATAGGTTTGATCCAGTTCACATCGATAAACTGGGAATATTTATTCTACAATTCCTAACATTTTAATTAACAATTACTAAAGCCACCTTACTACTGTCGTAAACACATTAATAAATGAACCATTATTTCTTTATTTCCATTAAATTCGCAGTCACTCTGATAAACTATTCTATTGGTCATTCATCCAATGCACGTTTCCACGGGTTATACCTAGGAATGGGGAGTACTCGAATTCCTAATGACCATTTAAACCTAGTGTTGTTTCACTTCAGTGTCAAATTAGCGTTTCGATTGTACAAAAGAACAAGTTATTGACACAATTGGGAACCCACACAGAATCAATATGGCAAGTGGCTAAAATCAGTTTTCAGCATTGATAACGGGATTGGTAGATGCGAGGGCCGGGTGGATGAGTGTATGTATAAGGTCAAGGACGTTTTTGTGGTAAACTGACCATCACACTTATTCAAACAGTCGAAAGTGTGAATTTTCCTCAGAAAAATCCGCAAACATTGAGTTAACTTAAGAGAGAGAGAGGAGGCGCGACACCAAAAGACGAGGCTAGAACGACCATTTAGAGTAGATGCCAGAGGAACAGCTACAATCGAGAAAGACGCTCCGGCGCATAGTGAGCGTCCATTTGAGGCCAGACACAACAGCTGTTGATTAGGTGATAGAGGAAACACGTTTCAGGAGAAATTTACAGACAGGTTTCCGCGAACCCATGTTGGCAAGACTGAATACGCATAGTACGTTTATGCAGCTGAAGGGGAGGAGAGGCGTAGGAAAGGGAAAAAGAGATGATGGCGCAAAACCACCCTTTAGTGCGCCATGGCATCAGTCCAGGCTCTAAGCGGGGTGTCGTTGTTACCCTTGTAGCTGTAGTTCTGTTCCACGCCTTCGGTTAGGGGGTGCGAGAGTATGTGTGAAGTAAGGCCGACATTAGGTCGACGCACGGAGGTATCTTCTGCTGGCGTCTCACCGCCGTTAAGGAATCCGTTGCGTCGCTTATAGTCCGCAGGGGAGTTGCTGGTCACCTGCTTTGAGGCTAGTAGGACATCAGTGGGCAGGACTTTGACGGCTCCACTCAGATTGTTAGGGTTGGTGGATGGAACAAAGGACTGCTGGAGATGACTTCCATAGGTCCAGGACTGATCGAGCTTCGAGGTGGTTGTTGGTTTGCCGTTGATGTCGTAAAAGCCCACCGGAGGCGTGATACTAGTTAACTCACTATGCTGAGCAAAAGCATCACCCATATCTCCCATGCCTTGATCGTACAAATCGCCATTTATGTCTAGAACAGAGAGGAAACGACTTATGTATTATTGCTGCTTGTGAAAAATCTGTATCGATGCAAGTTAACTTTGCCTTGGTTATCATGTCAATGTTTGTGTGTGTGAGTTTATAGAGGCAATTACTTCGAGCAGGAGTGTGCATGATGTTCATATCGGCAAAATAAGCTGTGGAATCGCTAATAGGTTGAAACAAATTATTATGCGTAAAGGCTTTAATCATAGTAAATTAACTGACCAAGAAGTAGAGTAAAATTCATTAGGTTCAGCAATGGCATCATGCCATCGGTTCGCTGAAAGGATATTGTTACGTAGTAATAGAAAACTACCACTTTTCCGTTGATTCACTTCTCTTATCTTACAACCTACATTTTAGTACTACGAAGCGTGAGTAAAAACTATTGTCATCATGCGGTGAGGATATTTCACTGTTTTATGTTTAAGAAATTATTTGGAAATGATAATTTTCTGCCGTAAGGATCACCCTAGTATCCAAATATTTCAAAAAGCAAATATTAAATTCATTTCTTCAAATTAGATTCCATATGAAGCAAACTTTTAATCTGCTTGCACTCCTAATTATTTATGGATCTTAAATAAAGTGACTCATTTTGAAAATCTGACAATCTACTGGCATGATTTAAAGCTTTTGCATAACGCTAATACCCATTCAGCATCAATGCACGAGCCAATGGTCGCTACTAACGCATTTGTCCACAATAGGTTTTAATTGAAAGAATGTTGCGAATTTTGCTGCAATTTCAGGATATTTTCAACCAATAGGACAGTTTACTTTAATTGTTGACCGCTTACTGTGCAACTCAACAGGTCGTGTAGTTGTGCTGTTATGATTAAATCCATTTTGGTCAGAACTTTGACCATCTTCAAAACGCATCGGGCTTCCGGGGTGACCGTCCGTCGGTCCACTATCCCCTTGTCCGGAAACTGCACCCACGTAGCTCTGCATGCATGTGCTGGCCGTCGCGCTCGACGGATTTGCATTGAAGGCATATGCGGTAGCCGGCTGTCCAGATGATCTTGAAGGCTGATTTCGCAGAGCTAGTGGTCCACTGCCCACGCCAGAGGGTACCGTGTGATCAGAAAGAGACGATCCATCACTATGGCTATGCCACATCGCGTCCTTTGTGACCATACTCTTCTGAAAGGACATTTGGTGCTGCGGCCAGTTGTCCCCAAGGAACGGTTGCTCTGGAGGGAACAACTGCTGTGAAGGCGGTGTGCCCGAGCTCTGAGTGCCCAGCATTTTCTCATTCGCCGCGAGTGAGACATACAACTGATTGAGACGCGCCTTGTCGCTGTTCGAAAAGGCCCACGGGCGCCCAACGGTGGGGTAGGTAAGCACCGAGCCGTTGGTCTGGGCTCCAATGGGCCCGCACACGGCTGCGTCGGCGGCTGCCTGACGAATCGTGTCGGGGGTGCATTTGCATCCGAAACGACAGGTGCCACGACAACGTTTGCGTCGATAACTGCGCTTTGTTTGGCAGACCCAGATGCAAGTGCAAATGAGGGTAATGAGGAGAATGAGGGAGATACAGGCCAGCACTAGAGTTGCAATGACCCAGATGCGTGGCGAACTGTTGGCCATAATTGCATCCCAGAAGTTGGGCGGTCGTTGAAACGTAGAATCGACACTAGTCAACTTGTCATTGGTCTTATGACTCGCCGCAGGGAACAAGGACTCTATCGGTTGAAGGTTTGGAAGGGGTGTGGTTGTAGTGGTTGTAGTGGTGGTGGTGGTTGGCTCCGGACATCGGTGGGACTGAACGCACAGTGCCTGCTCCGCCGACTTATCCACATCGATCATTAAGTAAGGAGGAGCAGCAGGATTAGAAGCTATGAAACTCGCCGAGAAGGCGAACTCGGGAAAGGAGTCACTGAGCATAAATGTTAGGGTCTCTCTTTGCTGTCGACTGTTGTATAGCTGAAACAAAACAATAAAAGGCCAAACCTACAAGTTAATATGTTCATGAGTAAAAATGTGCATTTTAGCCACCAAAGGAAGATTCTGCGTGAGGATTGCTGACAACAATTAATTTAGTGAGAAAATATGACCGTTTTACAGACGTTTTATAGTTGAAAACTTGTTCTAGTTTGGTGAATACCACCCTACACGCCAGTTTTCGACAAATATTAAAAAGTGGTATTTTTACATTGCGGAGAAAGTTGATTCCTTTATCCGTGCTTAGCTGGTAATTTCTGTTCGTATTAGTCACTGCAATAGGTCGCATTAATTACAACAAAATCTTTTTAATGATAGAGCATTCACCAGAAGGCTACTTTACAGACACGAAATGTGCGGTTGTTAAATGACATAGATGAAATCCAGAACAAATTTACTCAAGAACCCACTAGGTAAATGATTCTAGCATAGTAAAAATCGCATTGGCGGTTCACTGTCGGGGGGGAGGTACGCGACATTACGTACGGGCAGGTGGACCCCCTAAATTTGAACCCGGGGCTCCGACAATCTTAAGCATAAGTTTATGTGCGTGCCATGCGCCTACACAGTGTAACTCCCAAATGCCGACAGCAATTTTCCTCGGCAATCTTTGGTCGCAGGTACAATGAGCAAACCAACGATGTTTGTTGATGTTGTAGATAGAGAATGCCCAGTTGGACAAACTCATTTTCGCACACAAATCCATTCACTTCCAGGCGTTACGTGATAAATAATTAACCATAATAAAATAATGTTTGTATAAATGCTGAAGCTGGACTCACTAGTCCTGCTTTCCTTGAATTACATCCGTGGCCTATTAAATATTCTAAATCAAAGTTTCTCCCAAAGTCTTTTTAGAATGAACTATCCAATTATACAAACTTATAATAACGATTTTATCTACCATTCTATAGAAAAACAAGAACGGTGGATCTTATTACCTGCAAATAATGCGCTATAAGTTTGTGTGCAAAAACATGAAATTTGATGAAATGTTAGATAGAACGTAGTCATTACCAGAAAAGGTTAGGGGAATCGGGACTATTTGTCATAATTATCGCTTTTGGTCAACTTGTTGCAGAATGGTCGTTTTGGACCCTTTTTGGTCGACATAAATGTACCGTGGGTGGCCATTTGATGAATACCTCCCATTTTTCATGATAGTGAATCATTTGAATAATCCGAATAACAAACTAATAAGATAAATTGATTTTAAATAGATTTTGACTGGCACGCTTGAAAGAGAGGAACGTTAGTAGCTTTTCCTACTAAGGAAAATCGTCTGTGGTCGTGTGATCGAATAGTTTTTGTAAGTATCAAACATGGCTTGTAAAACGGCTGATATGGTCATAAAATACAAACACCAGCTGCTGCTGCTCGATCTGTATATGTATTTATTTCCTACAAAAACACCCCAAGTATATGTGCATATACTTGATATTACGCATTTAAAATAAGTCAATGTCTTTAATTAAGTATTGTAACTCCCCATCACTTTGCCTCCTTCTATGTGATAATAATAACTGAGCTCTTTCCGTACTTCCAGTGGGCGCACATACGAGAAGGCAGCAACCACCACAAATGGTGGCTGTCCATAAATTGATCAGATGTCACACCCCTCATTCGACAGAAAACGCGATATGACATTTACATTTACACTTCATATTTACACAATTGTGCCGCTTACGGAAGTGTTAGCTACGACGCAATTAAAAGCGACCTTAAACAGTCATCTACAAAGTGCAGCCTCAATACCTCTAAATAAGGCAATTTTACAATATTGCCTCTGCTTCCTCAGCAATTCTATAGAGCTTGAACAATACGTATTACGCTGGCCAGTAAGTTTGATGTTGCTTCGTGAGTGAACGCAAGAAACGCGTGGCCAATTTACATTTTCATCACAATACAAATGTTGAGCAGAAATAATTGCGATATTGGCGCCAGAAAATTGATGTACGTCTGATAGCCAGGAGATATAACATGAAGCAATGAAATCTAGTGAAAGGGAATACCCTAAGTACCAATGTTAATCGGAAAATGACTTTGTTATCTTAATGTACACTCAGTCATTGTAGCAAAAAACAAAACTCGAAACGTAAAATTGTGACAAAAGGTACATCACGTCCTGTTGTTAATGGCTGCAATTTTTGGAAAGGTAATGCTAGATAAGCTAGTTGTGTGTTCAAGTGTTGTAAAACTTCTAAAGAATCACTTTCATCTTTTAGAGAAGACATCAATTTTATTAGGATTTATTTGTTTCGTATTTCACTGCCTGTTCACACGAACCAATAAGCGACAAAACGTTCCTCAGCACATAGACGGTGTACATCTAAAACATTACTTCAAAGCGCCTTATGAAGATCAAAACTATAAATATTGCTCGAATCCCTCAATTTCCAGTCCTTTTTAATCGGGAACTGAAATTAGCACCAGAGTTCAAATTTTGACAAGGCGATTTGTCGAAGCGTTTAATGTCAGAAACGGAAGGCTAAGGTATGAATTCCGTCAATTTACTGCAAGCTGCATTTCAAAAAAACGTACTTGACTTCAGTTAAAGGCACTAAAATGGAACGAAATTCATTATTTTCGCACTTTTTGAATTAGACTGTCATGGTTTAAGAAAATTTCTGCTATTTCGTCGTCAAAGTTCGCATTAAGTGAACTTCGCTAATAAGTCATGCCATTCCAAACTAGGCGATGCATACAGAGACCTAAATTCACAAGATCAATTTTCATTTATCACCGGTGGTGCTGGTGGGGCCAGTTAACCCTTTTTATGGCTGTTTTACGCGGATCTGCTGCGAGGACTCCAAATGCCTTTTTATGCGAAACGAAACTAAGAGACCAGACGAAACGAAGCGACTAACATGATGATGACTAGCCACTTTCGTTGCAATGCCACACTAGCATACACCGTCGCCACAAAAATAAACCGGCAGTCTCTTTTGGTCTAAAATGTCGGTGACACTGCTCGCTGGTTTAAAGTTGTGCATATATGGGTGTGTATGAGGGTGTGAATGTGCGTGTAAGTACTTGTCCGCATTGAAAATGACACACCTGAGTAGTAGGTGTTAAAACCTACGAGCTTCAAAAGCCATGACTTTGTCTTTAATAGAGTCACACCAATCCGATATTTCACATTTTGTGTAAATTAGAATGCCGCATGCAATTCAGGAACCGGTTGCCAATATCTTCTTACAACTAAATTCCTTTCCTTCGTTTGAGCTTACTTTTAGAGGTTAAATAGTAAAGAATTTAAAGCAATCAGTCATTTTGCTCAAATACCAAATAACTTCAACCCAAACTATTGTTTACAAAGTTTGACCTAGCGTGCTGGTCTTCGCATGATGACGCACCCATGACGAGGCGACCTAGTAGAGTTGTTTATTTTTTATAGCGGTGAGGCAGTGAAGCTGCTGCAGCAATTGAATGCATGAGACGGGTTTAGAGTTACTGCTTAAAAGGCGGAGAACGAAGCACAATTAGACACAGACAACCGGTAGTTGGCACCACTAAATAGGCGCCATGGCGTGTATGACCGATGGATTAGCATCATCGAGTGGGTGGACCAGTTTTCGACAAACCATTTGCCTCTCTCCCACTCCTCTTTCCAGCAGCCAGCTGTAGCCAACATAAAAGTGTTTTGTTTTACCCAAGAACAGCACCTATGAAGATCTGCACACCCACAAAAAAAATTGACGCAAACTTCCTTTATTGTTAGCTGTCAAGCGCTAAAGGCAAAACCAGGCGATGAAGCCGCGCCAATAAGGCGATTGGATTCATCTGGTGCCTCGTATGAATCGGCTTCGGTCTACACCCTGCGCTATGAAAAGTTATCACATTAAATAAACAGTAATCTCTGTGGGGACACGCTCGAGACATCAGTTTGTTTCAGTAAACAGAATGCAATTTATCTCCGTAAGGGATTGGTTTTCTATTGAAAGTGGTAATGTTATTATGACGTTTATACAGACAAATTAGTGCAGTTTAACTCTAAAATCAAGAATCTATAAGACAGCGGGGTTTATCAATCAAAAGCAAATATTTCAATGTCAAAAATGTCAGGTTAGCATCGTTGTCATTTCAAAAAATTAATGCAGATAATTTGAGCTAATATTTTTTTAGCACTGCATTACAAATGCACCCACTCCAAAGTTATTTTACGACAGATGTAGGAAATTTGGTATTTTAGACTCCCAGTAGCGTTGATTCTTCATTTATAATGTTACAAAACTTCTGCATACGGGCTTAGACACCGATTTGATGGAGAAAGGATAAATAGATACTTAGTTGTCTATTTGCATAACCCCATAGACTGAAAATGCTTAGAAGGAGAAATGCACAAGAGTTGAAGAATCGCTCGTTGCATGAACGAGGTATTATTCTAATTACCTAGATGCAGCATTAAAATTAAAAACCAGAATTAAATCCTCTGCTTTTCACTATAAGCGATGAAGTTAGGACTAGCAAAAGCATTCACTTTCGAACCCATTAACCAGAAATAAAACCCATGTAAATGTGTCACTCAAAAAAACATTCTAATCACCACGACTATTAGGTGTTGGTAGTTAAAAAATTCCCCGCAAATTTAAGAGACCATTTTTCTAATTAAAACATAGATTTGGAAATGTGATTTTGATGCTTCAGTTTTGAGCACTTGTCACTAGGTTTTCAAAAAAGCCTGCCAGTAGATTTAGTTGGTTGAGCCTCAGATCGTGTTAACTGTAGTGCAGATGTGATAACATGAATATTAGCAGGAGAGCTATGTTACTTCTCTTATAAAGAAATACAGCATGGGTTACAACGCTACACTCATTATGATCTGTTCTGATTAGGTGCCTTCTTAGTTTAAAATGAATCTGTCATGCATAGTAGTACCGTTTTACGTATTGCTCATAGTACTTCCATAAAGAAAATGATGTGCGATTTCCACTTGCAGTCAAGACCAGATACTAAAGGTGGCAGCCTTAGTGCAAAACCACCACTCTTGCAAATACACACTAAGGAAGGCGAATACATAAGCAGGGGCTAGCATGACCATTACATATTGATGGAAATTCAACCACAGCCGCTGGGTATACCGCTCGAACTCCCGATGTGACAATCAACTCACATGGCCGGTAATGGGACCTTACAAAGGAGGCGCGTAAACTGGGACGCGTTTGTATGCTATGCCCCTCCCATGGAGTTTTAAGCATTTTGAACAGGTAACAGGAAGCAATGTCTCGACACACCGTATTTACTGGAAAATATGCCTGATGAAATCCCTTTTCTTAGCCAAATGAAAAGCAAAGCAACGTTCGCCCTGCATTCTAGGCCATACTGTTTTTTAATACCAAAACTGTTCGTTTGACTTGGTTTTCGATGGCGTTTAACTTTAAAGGGGCCAAGAGTCAATCACTCAAACGTCGACCAGAAAAAAGTCTATGCATAAACTCAAACGCCTCTTAATAAAAAGTAGATAAAAGTTATTCGCTGGCTTAAGAAACTAGTACTTGCAATAATTTTACTCGAAAATAATAAAAAAGGATTAATTCATACTAAAAAATTATAGCTATTATCCCCAAAACCACATAAGTACTGTTACTACGAGACACGCTGAAATTGATTTTAAAAAGTGCATTGCACTACAAGTAATTTTCGTTGTCTGTCAATTTTAGAACAGCTAATACGTTGAACGAACGACATCCAGCAAGACTCCATGGCATGCTACTCAAGCAAACTTCTGTACTTACTGTGTGATAAAATTCCGTTAGATCTCCTAGTGCACCTTGCCGACTGTTCGAATACCGTTGGCACTCTACACTGGGCTTGTACTGAAGGTCCTTTAGCACCCGATATGTCCTCGCGCATATTCCACACCTGCCCCTGGGCCCGTTGGCAAGAGTGAGGTTGTGGGTCACCTCCAACACCAGCGGTGCCCTCGCCTGGCCATCCTCATTAACTCCACCTAGCGAGTGGAAGGGGTCCGGTCCATCAATGTACTGGCGCTTCCGACGAACAAGCGACCACTCCGTGCTATTTTGGCCTCGACTGGGAGTAGGAACCGAGAGAGTGAAAAGAAGGAGAAGGGAGAGAAAGGGTGAGAGACGTGGGACACGAAGGAACGGGTCGACGATAAGCATGGCTCCGTTTTTAACCGACTTCAAAATTAGTCCTGCTTTCCCAGCGTGGAGAACGTGGTCAGCACGGATGTTGGCGTGTGTGTTTGTGTGCGTGCGCTTGTGTGTGCATGCATCCCTGCACTCTGACCGTCACCGGTGCTCTCGTGGTTCAGTACCACAGTGCGCGAACATACATGTACGCACGCACTTGTGCGCGTTACTAATACATCCGTGTGCACGCCTCGTGGGCCTTAGCACCTACATGATTGGCCATTCGATCAGCCAATAGCAAAACTGTCACGTCATTCCTTTAATGAGGAGCTGTGTGGATCCTCAGGCCTCCTATTGCAATCACCGCCGGGGCTGCCCACTTTCGTCCACTTCCGGACACCTAAATGCTCCTACAGAAGCTTGATCGTTCTGGTCTCGCCACCGTATCACTTGTACATGTTTATCATTTGCTGTGTTTGGTTACAGAAAAACCAGTAGTTTTTAGGAAAGTTCAACAGGTGTTAGGCGAACCCAATAATGCATAAACTGCTAACCATCGTGGTTAAGGAGATTCGACTGTACTGTTCGTCACCCAGTTACCTCGACGGTAGTCGATAATGCTGTCAGACTGTCAGAAGATACTGGAACACGATTTAGGATGGTTATAAACTTAAAAGTATGCCTGCTTTTATAACAGTAGTCCTCGCCTCCTAAACTTAAAACGACCCGTTTTCATCACATCAAACCCATATTGGAAAGTATAGCAACGGAAATACAAAATCTCTTTCGATATGAGGTGCGTAGTGAATTACCAGTCAATCGCTTTATTCGTTCACTTAACGTGGTCAGTAATCGGTGTTCTGAATGTTTCAGGAAGTGGGGAAGTGAACTAAACTAATGAAATTTATTTGACAAGAGCCCAATTTCTTTTGAAGAATTTGTGTTTTCATTACTTGACGTAATTTTCAATTGCATCACAAACTAATCTACGACCCATGTCGAGCCACAACCAAAAATAGCTTATTTTTACTTTGTTTTGTGGCATTATCTAGCATCATTATCAGATTGCCGTCTTTAAGGTGAAAAATTGCGCTCTCTTTAACGATTTCAAAGCAAATGGAAATACAGAAATCTAGGCATTGACTTGAATATGTCAGACAATATTTGCAAATTAATCAATCCAAGGTATATTTACCACTGGTTTCAAGAATCATTGATCATCCCGAGATTTCGAAAGTAAGGTCTCTATTGACACAAATCCATTAGCTCTCTGTCCGCCAAATAGCTATTTAAATCTTTTATCAATCACTCAATCACGTACACATTCATAGCCAGCATGTATCGTCGATCCACCGGCTGCGATGAATCTTCATCCGGATGGATACCAACTAATAACTACTGCAATTCAAGTTATTTTATTCTGAAATCATACCTTACAGCTCCGTCCTGAAATTCATAGCCACGATCATTTATTTTTGCTGTTCGGATACTAAACTTTAAGATGCTTGCTTAGGTATTTAGCATTCTTTTAGATTTATCGTTATCTGGCTCATGCGCATTAAGCAAACTTGGATAGATTATACGCTAATTATCAGTACCCGCCTTGAAATGAAGTAATGTCAAACTCATTCGCGCATTTTATAAACAATTTCGGCGATTGTAATTTCTTTATATTACCAGAGAATAAGTTTGTTTTATCATTTGACGATACCTTACTAAATGAACATTTACACGGAAAAATAGAAATTTGGAATGGTAAAAATTATTATCCCTTCTTCTTTGGTGGCAGTAGATGTAGAATCTTAGTGCATAAATTTGCCATACAAGATGGCCTCTCATTCCTTTCATCCGCTCCATTCATAAATGTCCAAAAATGACTTTCTTGATGCAGTTAAACTTTACCAGGCTGTCTTGAAAATCATCAGCACCACTGCCATTGAATACAGCGTTACTGTCTCAAAAATTGAGGGCTATTAATTATGAGTCTTGGATATCGGACTTCACCATAACAAGTCGCGTTGCTCCATTCAGGAAAAGTTAGGATCCTTGGAATTTGGGCTGATACACCTAGGCAGGGACACCAGGGGCGAAATTCCCAAGTACTGAAGTCTACAGGAGACCCTTTACTTAGTGCATGGCGAATTATGCGTAGACATTTTTAACCATGCATTTTTAGTTTTATTTCTAAATGTACCCATTTTTAATACCTTACCTCTTAATGAAAGCTTTTTTCATCTATACCTGGCGTGTTTTAAACTCAAATGGCAATGATATTAAGTTATTTCTAAAGGATTCAGAAAGGAAACACAACTGCTAGCAAAAACTGAGGTTTTTCATTTAAGGCAGGTGAAATGGTTTGAAATTATTTCTTCCATGAGATAAAAATACTTCAAAGTATGAATAAAAGACTAAAGAGACTTCCTAAAAGTAAAAGGACCAGTATTGGCACTCTAATTGAAAGAAAAATATGAGTGTTACATTATAATTGAAACACCCATACTAATGAATGAATAACTTCGAAGGAAGAGTTTGTAAATTAGTAGAGCATACCTCTAGAATTGGGAACATTGAAATTGATTTTAAAGTTGGAAAGTGCTGAATATACATCTTTTGAATTCCATAAACTGGTAAAATCATTACATATTCAAAGCACTCTAAACGAAGTGCATTAAATGTAAATGAGGCTCTGCTACTCTTCATATAGTCTATCAAGCGAAATTCTTAAAACCATATTTATTCAAGGTGAAATAATGACACAATTATTGGTCTCCATCGTGACCGTATTGAACGTTCTCACTTGCACCATCATTACAATCTAGTGAAAAACTTAAAATCTAAGATTGGTTGATTGGTTTTGTCCGTTTTGTAAGCACATTTTGTAAAAATATATGCTACCCCAACAAAAACTTAAATTAGTATTGTTTGTCACTGCCATAGCTACATAGAAATCAGTACCTTTAAGTTATTTAGACATTTTACAGCCATTTGTGCTGACTCCTTGCAAAATTTTGTCAAGAATCAAATCTAGGTAATTGAAGTGAGATGAAACACTTGTTCACATACACTTAGTGTTAAGAGGTTTTTGTCATGTCCCAGTCCGGAAAAAATTACTTCCTTCCTTAATGATATTTACGAATTAGTGCAGTAACCGTTCGACCAGGCGCTTCGGCCTTTTCCTAACTTCCTGTTAATGTTCCAAATGACAGATTTCCACCATTCCTGCACAAAACAGTACTAAGGTAAAGCTGTGTACGCACTTCGCAATCTAAACAGTCGCATGCTACTAAGAGTGGGAAGGGGGAAGTCGGTGCACAGAAATGGAGGAAGAGATTCGTGATTTTGGTTTTTCAACCATTAGACCTGTTTTACTTTCTTATAACAGCACTATTAAATGAAACGCTAGAACAAAATCATGTTGTTCACTTTGCTTAATCGGATGTACTTCACTCCAGTCAATAGGAAACAGTTATGATGCCTTTGGATTAAATTTCCTCTAATAACCCCAATCCAATATAGGTTCTACCTAAAAATCTTTTTAGAGGAAACCCACATTCATTCCTGATATTACTCTAAAATGTAGACAAGTTACTTAATGAATTGGTTTTGTTCCAATTAGCTTATTGCATGTATCGGTTACGGGCAATCAGTAAAATGCAAGCGAAATTAACAAAACCTGCAAATCTGCGAAGTTACGAGAGTGAAACTACAGAGTTATGCATTAACACCTTTGAATTATGAAAGAAACGAAGAACTTGGTAAAAAATACTACGGGCTCAGTGAGGTTCTTCGAAAATAATAACATTTGAAGTTAAAATGTGCAGAGTTTTTTATACAAAAAACAACACTTTTATGTTAATATTTTTATCATTTAAAGGAAAACATCTTAGCTTTTAGAATTTGCGTAATTGAGATTGACGACACCTGCTGCAAAGCTGAAAAGGTTGATGCCTTCTAGTTTAAATGTTTTGGATGTTGTGAGAAAACGCGGGAACCTTATTCATACTTCAGATTGGGAAAAGATTCAGGAAGTTAACTATATGGATTTCACACAAAGTTAACAAAACCTAGGGATTCCTTATCCTTTGCAAATCATTTCGGCTAGCTTTCGTCGAAACTGGCCATTTTTAACAGTATTTGACTGTCTCACCAATTAAACCAGTGCCTACCTCATAATAAAAGGTTTAAATGCTGCTATGCGACATTTAATGGCTCAGCGGTGATTAACTGTAAATAATTTCTACCAAGTAACTGGAAGATACATTTCAAATAACCTGAAACATTTGAGATTAATGTCGCACATATATAGACTAAACAAGCCAACTGTAATCGTTAATAGTAAACATTTGCGGGACCTGAGATACGAGCGCCGTGGTTGTGTTAAACTTCATATTTTCGTAAGGGCATGAAAGCTTTCAAGACTTAGTATTCGGTGGAACTGTAAGACCCGATATTATGTCCTGCAACCAAGTTTGTGGTGATGCTGAACTATTCTTTTGGCAGTCACGTCTAGCTGCAAAACATGCTTCTGATTCGAAGAGCATACATTATACCATAATATGATAAAAAATTACACATAACTAGACTTAAGTATACTTTGGAGCTCATCATACAACAAATATTTCAATGAATTAGAGTATGGCAAATCTCAGGCTGGATAACTGCCCTTTCAGTAAAGTTTGCCCCGTTAATATTGCTAAACGTTAGTTCCTATAATCAAGTCAATATTTTCCTTTTTTAAGGGAAAAATGTTTAAAATGTCACATCTCTGACATTTAAGCTATCAAGGGTATGATAACTGTTTTATCGCTTGCTACTAAATATAATTTTTTGCATTAAGGACTGTCAAGAAATACTTAGAGGTAATCACTTCTGATGGCAACCATTGTAGTTCGAGAATGACATCCAAAAGTAGTACTTCTAAGTAAAGAAAAACTGTACACACTAAGAAAATTAGGGCCTGGAAATAACATAAGGTATGAATATAGCTTTCGACAGATATTGTTCCTGTCCGATAGAAATTTGGCAGAAAATTATGACATCTTCCATTAGTTTAAATGGGAACAAAATGACGCAGACAAATATATGTAAGCGAGACAAACAAATCGGACGCGCAGCACATCGCTGCTTGAATGGCGCTTGTGAAGTCTGTTTAAAATTTGCGATAGCCATATGCCAAAAGCCTTGGGTCAATTTAAAGGCGCTTGAGCAAACAGTGCCATATTCGTTAGCTCATCGTTCAACGATATATTCGAGACAAAAAATTTCCCCTTTTCTTCCGTTTTATACCACTTTCAAGCAGTTTAAGTGCTCATAGCTTTTGTAAAGTTTGGATGGCGTAATTTAAAGCTACCTTGTGAACAGGACTTCAGACAGGGCTATAGCTATGTTTGTTAATAAAAATGTTTGACTGCTAAACAGGTGAGTAAGACATGTAACCATAGGAGTCAGTTGTGATTAAAAGGGCATGGTTCATATATTTACTTATTCAAATCTTATAAGTTACAACAATGTATCTTTATTTAAGTACTCTAAGTTTAGTTCTGTTCCTCTTCTATGGGAGCTTAATTACCACGATTATCCAGAAGAACAATTGCACTGATACAAATGCTCCAAATGATTTAATTCTACCAGCAAAGCTCACAGCCCCAGTATTGTTTATAAATACTTTTGAACCTCATATCTTACTACTGAAAGTATACCTCGATGAGTAAACCGAGTCACACCTGAAAGAGCCATCTTGAACCAAAAGTAAATAATTAGGCCTCTTAAAAGCCTATTAATTAATGGGTAATGAGAAGCGAAATTAAACTGACGTCCCAAATTAGTTTGCACAAAAGTCTCACAGATCCTGCCAATGGTGAGGACGGATCCCTTCTAGATCAATCACTTTGAATGGAGGGACGTAAACTACGACCGTAGCATGTTTTATGCAGGTTGTCTCGTTTGCCCATGGTTGCTGGGACACGTATGCGCATACAGGCACACACACGCACGCAAATGCATCAAGGCGATTTTCCCAGGGTAAAACAGCCAACCGCTTTTTGGTAAAAACATTTTTATTGAAATATGTCCCAATTTTGCCTTTTATTATCACCATGTAGACTGCAGTTCATGACTTCTTTGTTATTTTGATATATTGTAGAGCACATTAGTCACTCATAAATTGGTTGATTTTTCGCCTTTCTGGTTTATGAGTACCCATTGCTGTTGTTTGTAATTGTTGTCATAGTCACAAGAGTCTGTGTGATATCAACTTGGAGGGAAACGTTGAAATATGGGGTTTGGCATCCCTGGTATTCTATTCCCAAGAAACCTTTGGAAGGCTTGGAATTGAGACTGGGTCACTTTACTAATTTTTTGGGGAATGAGGAATGTATTTAAATTTTTTGGATAAAATTGATTTTCAAAAATAAAGTGACTAAGGATTTGTTCCTCTGGTGACTGACACCACTTTTCACAAGTGAAAAGTTGAAGATCTGATATGATAGCGGTAAATCAAAACAATTCTTTTGAGAGTTTCTACTTACTAATCTGATATTTTAAGTTTAGTTAAAATAAAAAAGCGCATTTTAAAGCCAAAAATGGTCTAAATTGTAATATTTTTTGAGTAAGTTTAAAATAGGAACAGAATATTTCATCTCCATTGACTAAAACCCAATTCACTAATGGGAATAGCTCCAAATGCCAGATGATTGTTCAAAGATCGTACGTGCTGTGGAGGTTTGCCAACATTCTTTCGTGCATCAAGGTGGTCAGATAAATTACGTCCCAGCCTAGGTTTCCAAATTTGATGAGTCTGCTTAAGGTAAAACGCTTGTAGTCATTGAAAAATAGTCGGTCTCTCAGAAGCACCTCCGATTTTGAAAACTTAAGTGTTAAATGCAAATTCGGAATATCTACAGATTAAAATGCTTAGACTAAGGGCGGTGTAAATTCTATGATTATCCGAGACCACAAGAATACAAATTAGATACATCTGATGACAAATTTTCATGTCATTTGCTTATATTTCTACTTTGTAAGTTTCCCCACTTTTTCTTCTTTTTTTAACTACTTTAACGTAAGGGGAGGAGCTAATGAAAACCGACAGAGTCCTGCAGCTGTCTAGTGTTGGGGTTCGTGTTTTCGTGCTGTGCTTCTCGTTCTCTGGTAACTTCACCTTAAGTATGGGGATTATGTGTATTTTTCATTCACTAGGCAAGTATGTGGCAGTGCGATAGTAAATCTCCACCACTCTCTCTGCTCATTCATAACAAGTGATAAAGTGGCCCAATAGATAACACATATGGTTAATATTTAACTTCAGTGTTATCTTGTGATATGGAGCTACTATTGCTTAAAATAGAAAAATGTAATTGACAATGGCTTCAGCAATGCATAGCTCGCATTAATAGTATAGGAAATAATCACATCCTCATATATGTGTTCCATAACCGATTATTTTAGCACTTAACATTTGTCCAGCCATGCGACATTCCTACGATCTTTCTGCTTGTGTGTGGTGATCTTAAGCAATCAAAATAGACCATGAACCCAAAAGAACATTCTTTAAACCTAATAGCAACTACAAAACAGAAATACGTTCGCAATATAATTGGGCATTTAATATATATAATAGAATTTTTCTAAACCCCCTTTAAAACTTGAGGGTTTTTACATCCATATCAGTGGCTTTATAGCTATAAGCTCCAAAAATTGATAAGTTATTTCACCAAAGTGGACAATTAATGTGAATAATTTATCAACTAGCGTCTTAAATTTTCAAAATGTCCAAATGTTTTTTATATTGCTATTATTTATTCAAACCCCGGATTCTTTTCCTTGTGCACTAAAAGCGCTGTTCATAAGTTGGTAACAGGTGGAAAGTAGGAGACCGGTGTATTGTGACCTTCAAATTTTATTTAACTTGATAACTATAATAATAAAATATGGCATTTTTGCTGACAGTAAAGAATCGCCAGCATAACAAGCATTTAAGTGGCAGTTGTGCTCCATATATATCCAACACACAGATTACTGTAACAATACTGGAAAACCACATTAGTGTCACCACCATCTGCTGTATGAATCTCCTCTGGGCGCAGCAGAAGCATGGAATTAGACCAATGATGAATGAAAGTGTACTCTTAAATCAAACGGCATAAAACTTCAGCATTTACCTTAATGAAAAAATTATTCTAGATTACGAGTCTGAAGGAAAGTGGGAGTAGGCTTCTGGGTACTAAGTCATGTACGTGTGTTTGGTGTTAACTGACTAATTTATTCACTCGAGCCACTTCAAAGTCAGGGCTGTTACTTAAGGCATACGTGCTTCAAGACGGTGTTGATTAACCAGATAGCAATATCCATGCAAATAAATCTGCAGAATGTGGGAAGACACGGTTACCATAGGCCGGCTGATGAATAACTCCAGCATCTTGTGGAGAAGGGGATGTAAATACTCCCGATCGTCAAGACAAACGACGTGATGGCCGAAGCTCTACCACTTTTGTTTCACTTAAACCTTCCAACCTACATCCATTTAAAGTCTCTACGATTTTTCGATGGGAATACTTCACAGGTATTTCATTATTTTGGCTTATACGACCTTTGTTTGGAGTAATTTGGAATGCTGTCCATTATTCGCTTGATTTCGTAAAACATTTTTTGTAAGTAAATTGGCACACATAATGGCATACTCGTATGCATTTCTGTTGGGTCATAACGGAGAGAATTATTTTTATTGAGCATGCATTAATGCATGCTTGAGCAATTGCCAGGTCGGTGAATGGTAGCATCAGCAAAACACTTCAAGATTTGCCTCTTGAGGCGGTAACTACAGTAGACTCATGTCCCCATCCCAGAGAGGAGGCTGACAAGACAGTTGTGGGCATGGTAAGCGTATTTTCCTCTCAGATAACTTAAAAAAGCCCACAATGACCAACTGTATACAAACCGACCCTTCTTCACCGGGATAGGCAGAGAAAGTGGGTGAGGATGGAGGGGAAACGGGAGACCGGGAGAAGGGCACTCTGTTACTCTAATGAGGGGACAAGGACGTAAACCAAGCAGCTGTTGCATGCACACGTGCAACCGCGCATGAACGCGCGTGCGCCTGAAGCTATAACTGACTAAGAGACGTAGTGCCTTCGTATCCACCCTTGCGGACCTTGTGAGTCACAGCGCAGCCCGCTGGCTGCAACAGAGGTAGCTACGCCTGCGCCCAGGGCTAGGATGAGCGGGAGGACACAAAAACCACCCCTGCCACTACCACAAGACTGTGCGGTCCCAGATGATGGAGAAGTGGAGTGCAAACTCTGCATAAAGAGGATTTTTCATCTCTTAAGCCTTCTCCCCATGACGCATCGGCGCACATACACAAACATCAAGGAATGCATGTGAGCTTATCGATGTGGCCTCTAACCTACACACACTAGAACTGGGGCTCAGAACAAAAGCTCGGCCAAGCAACTGACTAGGGTATACAAACTTTCACCTAAGCGCGTCGCACACGATTTCCTCGTTGGTAGTGAGTGATGGGCTTTGCACCTAAATTGGTTTCACATTTTTTGATTGGTACTGAGGGTCACACTTTGGCTATTGGATATACGGACCAGGTAAGCAAGGTAAATTCCTGCCCAGCCAGGAAATAGGATGAAAGTTACATTTGTTAGAAAACCGTGAGTTAGTACGAAAACCCAGAGGAGAACTACTGGACAATAAAAATGAAGACTGTTTAGTATTTGGTGATGGAAAAACTCATTTTGTATTTTCAAAGCAGGGCTTAAACGCATCTAAAAGGCACTGGATGAATTCAAATTTAGCGCGTTGCATGCGCTTTTCTAAAGGAGCCTCAACTGGAACTTTAGTTGTCGTTTCAGCAATGTTCATTTTTTGGTTAATTGCTAAATGAGGTCCAGCTGTAAGCTGAAATTCATCAATCTGATCTGATTATAACACCATTTTAAAAGCCTAATTGATTCCTTTCGGCATTATTCATATTGCTTTTTGTTTCCCGCTACCAAGTTAATTTTAAGACCAGAACAATTTTTTTCCTATTCTCAAAAAGTTAAAGATTTTCTTCAGAATGATGGTGACGTAAAGTTGGTTTGACTTTGTATGCATTCATCCACTTTGCCAGTCACGTCTGTTAACTATTGTACAATCTACCCTCAAACTGTTTTTGTACGCATGTGTGTGCGCACCCTTAAAACACGTATTGATGTTTATAGGTTCAGGTGGTACGGTGTTCGATGGATGGATAGTGATTAATGGAAGTACGTGCGGCTCAGAATTATTTATGCGAGCCCCCCCCCAATGCTCCAGTAGAACTGCTTTGTTTGAGCGCCTTTTACCTAACGTTATGCGAAATCTTAATCACCATGGCTACACCTTAACAGATGACCGATTTTAAGAGTAAAATCTCACATTCCCGAATACTATTCTCGCCAAATTAGACTGACGAATTCACTCCTAAATCACGCAAAGTTTTAAAAATCACATTTGTATTTCCTTGTTCGAACGTGTGCAATTAGACATAGCTGATAAAGATTGAGATTAAAAAAAAAAAACATCAAAATCACCTTTATTTCGGTTAACTGAAATTGACTCTCCACAAGCTGCAATCGCTTTCAATAAATACTTCCAAGTACTCTATTAGATCTGTGCAAAATATACTATGGCTTGATTAAGATAAATGAAATCTTATAATTTTTCAATTCCTTACTAACATTCGCGGTGCATGAAAATTGGCCCTTGATTTCAAGATTACATTTAAATAGACTCCACCTACGAAATAAGATAATGTAATTGGTGAACAGGGAGCACAGAGTATTCGAAAAAAGGTGTGCGACACATGAGCTTAAAACATACAAGGCGCGACCAATCCCGAAATTAATCAGATCCTGTTTCTGACCGCTTGACAATTGCATTGCATTGACAATTATATTTATATAAACAACTTCGATTACATTTAGCTTGGTAGGTTTCAGCTTAAGCTCAAAAAATTTGGACATAGTACCAAGCTCCTAATCTATTAAACTCACGATTTATTTGCTAATTCATGATCTTTTCCCTCTAAAAAGCAGGATGGAGAGTGACTTTACTCCAAAACTGTCCCATTCTACAGATGTGCTAATATGGCTCTCAGTGCTTTGCAAAGGAAGAGCTTCAGTGATTTCACTTCTGCAATGGCATCCAAATGCATCTCCATCTATCCAAAAGATTGACTCAAATTGATCGCATGCGAATCCGACACCGATCTCAAAGAAACTTTAGGCTTTTATACTTCTATAATTGCTGAACTTCTATAGCATATTGCCAAATCCACCGCCCTTATGCGCTTCCAGTGAGGATGCAATTCACCGATCGCTTCAGGGTTTTTGGAATGCAAAACGAATTCATTCGGCGTAGTCAGCCATGCTTCCCTTGGGAGATGGTGGCAACCTCGCTTAATAAGAAACAGCAATATTATTATCCACTGGTCTTTTTGGAATGAGAAATTACCGCTTCCTTTATCACAAGAAAACAAAATTAATTTAAAAAAAATTAGTTGCTTTAATGGGTAATTTAGCCATATGAGAGATGAGAAAGTAAAGATTGATTGAATTCATGCATTCTAATACTTTTATCACTGGTAAAGGATCTTGATTTCTTCAATGACAAAATCTTCATTGTGGTATGGCATGTGAGATTCAGCTTTACTAGGATAGACCTTGCACCACAAAACTATCGTTTAAAGCCAACTGCGAACAAAAAGCATACAATCCTACCCTAGTGTAATATGGTTGATTCGTGGTTTCTGTTCTACAAAGCATTTCGCTTAATCATTTGTGAAAATCATCAAGTAATGTTTGTTCATTAGAACAAAGCATTTAGGTGTCTCCTCCAGCATGCGAGTAATTACCATATTAGAACTTAAAACTATTTTTAAACCGAGTAACTGAGAGCCCTTTTAGCGGTATGATAGTCGTATACACTTGAACCTAACAGATCATTCCCTATATAAAGTATATTCATCAATTAAAATGGAACTGATTGGCTAAGCTGGCGCTTTTTCAGCTATTAACTCAACTTACTAGGAAGTTTATTTAGTTTTACTCGACTTAATCCAACTGAGAACTACTGTGATTTACAGTTCTCTTCATGGCACACCCACATTTTCATGCACATCCTCCTGTCTCCTGCTCCCAAAATCTGGTCCTGGTGATATCCAGTTGCTAGGCTTCAGCATTTCAATCAATGACATTATTATTAACTTCACATCGTATGTAACGACGTAAATGTAATATCACTCAAAAAGTGCTTTGAGTCTAAGTAACTTACTCAAAGGATTATCGTAGAGCTTATGAGGACATCATTTTTGCCATATTACTTAACTTAAACCAGGACCCGTAGAATCCTCGAGCTAGACTTATGCTTTGCCTGCTAGAAAACACTCGGCTTCTACCACATTTACTGACTTCTCCATTAGTCTAATATGGAATTTCTTAAAATATGCCCATCTCATATAAAGCCATAATAGGTGTAAACGCCCGCCCAGTCCACGCCTGGCAAAAATGCCTCCAGGCGTGGTTTAATGCAACAAAAACTACATGATAAAGCGACCAAAGACTGATTACGATTCTTACCTGTCTGCAATTTTGCTTACAAGAATTGTAGAATGATTAATTGAACAAATCGCCTTGACACAATTTGCAGTCAGTCTTGATCACAGTATGGTTGAATCGCTAACAGAGTCCTTTTTAACATCAAGCAAATATATTTTGACAACATATCCTTAAAGTATCTTCTGGTCTGCAGAGAAGGAGAAAATACGTAATTCAGGGCATTAATTAAAGGATGAAAAAAGTGGTAAACCGCATCTACTGAAAATACTTAATTCAAAATTTTAACTACTGGAGATGTCTCACTTCATTCAAGCCCATTTTATTGTAAGATGCCAAGATATTTGAGCAACGAAGTTATAATTGGCTTGAATAATTGGAGGGCGATCGCAACGTTTATTTTATTGAGCCACCTTTACCCAATTACAGTACATTTTACACTTGAGAAGCTAAAACTTACAAGAAATGTTTTTTTGCTATCGAGTCACAAAATTAACGCCCAAAGTAGGTCTACTCCACATTCTGATCAAGTGAGCAATAAATTTAACAGCATAAGAACACAATTAAAGCTGGGTAGGATAGCTTTTTGTAATAATTACCGATTTATTAGGGTGAAAATTTAATGTAACTTTTTAAAAAAAACCTGAAATACTGCAGAAATTTTTTAAAAACAAGTAGATGATAAGCAGATTAAAACACAGTGAGTTGTTTTTCTCCCTTTTTTTGCTTAAAAAACCACGAACTCAACTCCGTTTTCCCATTTTACTGAATGATGTGCCAGGTGTGACAGGTTTAATCGGTGTATTATCAACGCTTAACTTATCCAATGCACCTGACAGCCAATTCAGAGGCGTTAAAAATGTCGCCTTGACATGCTTTTAAGGTTAGTTATGAATAACGAAAAAAGAGATGCTGCCGCGACCCCTATCCCGACCTTCAGGGTAGCAGAGCATACGCCGTAAACATTAGAAGAGCGATTTGTACCAGAGCGTAAACTTTTCAAGTTGTTATATAGGGGCCTGTAAATTTCAACAATAATTAATTTGCATGCCGTATGCAACGGAATCGTGCGCAGAGATGGGCCGTATTAGAAAGTTAACACTGGATATGCATCACTTTACAAATACTATTTTACACTTTGAATATGTGGTTTCAGGAGCCAGTAATAGTTGCTCCGCTTAGGTAAACCTTTGGCAATATTTCCTATGAAGCACAATATCCACATCATGAAAACTCTATTTAGGTTGTGCAAATGCTTTGATGAGAAGGTCTTTTGCCACTTCTCCATCAATCAAATAAGCAATTAATGAATACCACATTAGTTTAATTGCAAAGTCTCGTATCTGGAGGATGGGAAGTCTTGAAAGATGGCCTAGATATTAAATTTGGTGTCATTCATAGCACACAGAATTATTCATCTCAACACACTTATTCTTTATGCGTAATTCAAGGGGTTACTCTCCTTGAATAGGTCGGAAACTAAGAATGGTCCGTCTTTGTAAAGGTGCAAGCAAGTCCCCCATTAGTGGAGATGACATTCTGTTAGCTCTAATACGGATTGAAACCCCCAAATGGACCCCACAATTTAAAACGCATAAAGGTAGCTGCAGTAATCAACAATTGTGCTTCCGTGATTTTAAATGACGACGATTGCAAAGTTACCTCCAATTATATTATCACCTCAGTTCGGTAGATCCCAGAAAAACCAATACAGAAAACATTTATGTATTTGAAAACGGTTCACATATGAAGCCCTACACGAGAAAATTTTATTGAAAGATATGAGATTTAGGCAGAGGATCTAAATGCGTGGTTTGATGATAATGCTCATGTCGAAAGACCATATTACTTTTCAACTGATTTACCAATCAGAGTTGTATTATCACTTTAAACTAAATTATTTTATTCGCATAATTTATTGCATTCTTTTTAAAGTATTCGTATAGTGAATGAATGATTCGCACATATACCTTGATATACATGAGAAATAATTGCAGAACTTATCGCAATTCTGGCTTACATTTAGGTGTGAATATACCTACGATACTGTGCTCACAATTATGGCATTCAAACGCCAGTACTGCAGATTCCAAGCCTTAGCAATGACAGTCACTGCAATGATCATGCTAAATGCACGATGGATGGCTGTGAAATTTGGCTTTCCAGCTTCTGTTGCAGACATTACCAACGGCTACACAGCAGTGGGGCGGCCCGGCTTTAAAGTCTTCGTCTGGGGTGACGACAGGGGACTGCATGTGAAGCTGCACCGCTTGTCACGTCTCCCAGTGCACCGGTGTGCGCTCCCAATCGCGAGTGCCCTTTTCCAGCCCTTATGGTTCACCCGGCCAAAATGTCGTATGTCGTGTTCAGTAGACACACTATCAGGGTCGTGCAAATTTTTATCCCATTGTCTTCAGACCGGAGACTTTTTTGACAGTCCTTTGATCAATATCTTAAAACTGGATTCAGTAATCGCTTTGAGTTTTAAGTGACTGGCTGACCATGTTTTTGTTTACCCTGTCTGATGTAAGCATTAGGTAGGTCATAAATAGTTCATATTATGTCCTAAAGATGGTCATAAATTTTTGTGTTACATTATTCCACCTGGTAGAAGGGAAGGCATTGGCTTAGATAATAGGAGTTAGTGACGTCCGAAACGACAATTAAGACGTATTATCGTGTTTGATGCGTAGACGAAATGGCACAATTATCGAAAAGAAATCAAAGGAAGATCGGAGTTTATGTAAAGTAATTCCATTTCATTGCATTGCGCTTGAGCGAGCGTTAACCATATCGTTTGCAAAGTACTATAGTGTGAGATTTTCTCAACGAGCTGTTCAGTGCAATGACTGGCAGTGCTGTCACATTTATTTTTAAATAATCCACCCATGAGTCAATGCAAAAGTATTGTCGTTAAATTAATGCCTGCAGCACCACTGTTGACCTCTAGGCACGGTAAAGCATATTCTGGCTCTTCTTTCCTGGAGGAAAGCGACCAAGGTTGTCCAGGAGAGATCTTCAATTTACCGTTTTTGTGTTTTTAAATCACCAGTACTACGGTTTTAAAGTTTTTCTTTGTTTACATTGTTTTACTATTTCCTAAGCCAGCTACTAAATCCACGTACCTGCAGCATAAATATTGCGCACAAATGCTTAAATATAGTGGAAAATTAGATTTTAAGATCCCACTTTTAACACCATTCAGCAGGTTTATTTTCCGCGTAAGAAAGTCTTTACGGTCATTTTGCAGGGTTCGTAAAACCATTTTCGATTATTACAAATAGCATGATAGGGTAATTCTGTAGACGAAAAAATATTATCAAGTTAAAGCCAACGATAGTTATGATAGGAATAGATTTTGCTGAAACACGCCAATTGTCAGTGACTGGCGTAAGCACCTACGGACTGAATTGACCAAAAGTGCTGTTACTATGAAGTTATATTTAATGTATTTCTTCTAATAATAACGTGGACCAAAACTGTCACCTTATTTAGGTAGTGTATCCTCGTGATGTTTAAAAAATCGACCTTGGATATAAAGATAGTGAGCTGTGGCATACGTAAAAAGAAAATGGGAATATAAAGCTGAGGAGCTACAAGTTATAACCGTACAGAATGCACAAAAGAAAATAGAGATTGTTGGGGCTCTTCTAGCGGTCAGGAAAGGAACATGTTGTGTCACAAGGATGTCGCGCTTCCATAGAAAATGTCAACTAATTGTACCTTAGCCCCCGCCCACCGTCGCACACCTCAAACAAACCCAGTCTAGTAAATCACTGCAATCCACTTGGACCTGAAGTTTTATCGATGTTTATGCATAAGAATATCATTTGCTCTTTCCTTAAATAAACTGTCCGCACTTCATCGCTTTGTACAACTGTGACGGTTATTTTTTGTAAAAGTCGATTAATTCGACTGAATAGTTTAACCTTCATTTATCCCATCACAGTTAAGTGATGGCCTTATTAACGCGATAAAAAGGTTTTACATCATGTGGTGGATTAGTTGGGTCGTGTATTCAATTACTGCTTGAAAATACTTCAAAACAGTAGACTGAATCCGTTTCATGCTGAAATTGTTTGCATATATGTGCAGGGCGATATTTTCTACAAAGTCGTTACCTCTTTTTTTTTCAGGAAACTTTGATAGAGCCTTCTTTTCATGCTCCTAGCTGTAGTTGAGCTTAGGTGAGCTTAGTGAATCTATTTTGACCATTATTTAACAAATAGCTTCAGTTCCATATTGTGTAAACAGTCCGACAAAGATAAATTGTTGTCTCCAACACACCTTGTAGCTAAAAAATTTTGACAACTGTCATCATCCCAAAGTGACAATTCATAGGAAACTGGAAAAATGAATGGTTCCTTAAGCAGAACTAGTTATATAGATCAGGAAGCCATAGTGGATTAAAACTTCACCTATCTTAACAGTTTTCCATAAAAAAATGTGAGGATACTTTTGAAAGCCACCCACACTCTTTTCAGGTAATTTATCTTAAACAGATCTCCTCATTCCACTAGCAGTTCAAGTTAAAATAAAGACTAAAACTTGATCTATTTTCAAAGAAAGAGGTTTATGATATGGAATTATTTGGGTCTAATGAAAACTTTTTTAGCATTATCCGAGTACTGATGTATCATTTAAGTGGGATCGAAGTTTCAGAGAAAATAATATCAATTTGGCAACTCCTTCCACGCCTAGAGCTATACCAGCATTCAGTGGTAAAAATAATTTCAATAACCCTTCCTTAGCGGGATTAAACTTCGAAAGGAGTTTAATATCATAACCAAAATTGCTTCAAGCAACAAAAGTGAAGACAAGAAACAGTGAAAAATATATTGCTCCAGCTATGTATAAACTAATTTTTTGGTTGCTTGAGATTTAAGTGAAAAATTCATCATCCTGAGCAAATGTATGGCTTCTTTACGTGTGTGCATATTTTGCGCCCAATTTTGCCCTCAAATAGAAACGCAAAGGGCTTGCAACTCTCGCTGAGAAAGAAGAATGGGAAATTCTTGCTGCCAGTGATCGACAAAGAAATAATGAAACAAAGAGAGGCCAACTTTTAGTCCCCCGAGGCCACCGGAATGAGAAATTTAAGAAAACAAGTACAAGGAGCCAGAAATCTGTACAAATGACAGGGAGGTTATCTAATTTATATGAAGCATTTTGCCAAGTAATCTTTTGAGTCATTTTCTGATTCAGGTGAATATGTATATGCTATAATTAGACGTAACTTGAAAAAAAATGCCCATGCCTAAGTGATCGGTCGCATTTTTACTTGGTCAGGTTTTAGTTGTATTAATGGACGCAACTCCAAGCCGCATGGGTGAATCTGCATTCCTATGTGATTTGCATTTTTATTAGGATATAGAACTTTCCAACTCCCTAATCATGAGCAATTGATGGTCTTAATTATACAACAGAAATAAAGTAGATCAAATTAGCGACTGAGGAATAACATTTTTGATTTAATTAGTAACAAGAGAATTTTACAGAGAAAACCTTTATAAAGGGCACTGGGTAGTTATACTTTGTAAATTTGTTTCTTTCCTAATGAATGCTAAAGTCAATCTAATCCTTTAAGGAATCTCATATTACAAAACCATCTAATTCAAAATTTCGAATTTGCGTTCATAATTAAAATAGAGGTTCTTCCTTGACAAGAAGCAATTTATTACTTTTGTGAACGATGGATCTATTCTACCGTGAGAGGATTATTGGGAAAGAGATAATGGGGTGGAGAACATGGCTTGAATTTGTTAAATGCACGACCAAGATTAATGCGAGTCGTCTCGGAGATGTGAGCGAAAATGTCTTCAGACATTGAACACAGCAGTTTTAGCAGGTGATACTGATAACTGAAGAGGATATAAATTTAAGTTACTCCCATAAAATCACAAATGATTTATGATTTTATGCTACTTGTTTAAAAATGTGGATCTGTATTAATTTGCGGTTAGAGGTTTTAGTGCCTGTTATACTGTAGAGAGTCGTGGTATCACATGATTATTCACTAACAAATTTATTTGGTGGCCATCGATAAATGTTTGTATATTCCCCGAGTAAGCTAAGGGAACGCATACTTTTGAAGGGTCACTATGAATGGGGTAGAATTTGGCTGATTAGACATGACGAGTGCCTGAAAAAGCAGAGCTGTCGGATAGCTATTAAAAAGCTATTAGTTTTAAATCAAAGAAATGCTCAACAGTTTTGGTAACGGGAGAATTGACCTGGTAGAACAAAATTAGTGTTCCAGTGTTCAGCTCACATTTACACTCCACCCCTAACATCTCGTTAGCACCACGGAAAAATTAGAATTAAGATGATTTTCGAATAAAAAGCTGACATTAAAATCACAACAATTTAACAATGGCTCTAAAGAGCGAAAAATCTTAACTGCTATTTCAAGTTGGGTTTCGTTTCGTGTCCTACGAGAGTTGTGGGACCATTTGCAAACATTAATTTACATTAATATAGGTACTAAAGCAGCCACTGTATGTAGGCATCCTTTGACAAAAAATTTATGTACATTTTGAGTCCCTAAAATTGCAAGCTATTTGTTTTCAACTGCCATTACAAGGTAAAGTCATTTTTGGTTATATTTGTTAAAATGCGTTGAAATGTCTGCTTAAGATTTGTATACACTTATGCGTAGACAATTCCCTTGCTAAGGAAATAAAATATATTTCATACAGTAAGTTTTAAAGGTCTCACCACCGTAAATAAAGCCGTGGGCGTAAAATTGGAAAATTCTTAATAATAATAGTCGCAACTGCATATTCCACTTTTTATTAACAAAAAAATCTTCCTGAAAAGCTACTACCTCCGCTTCGGTGGTTCGTAAAGGTGGAAAATGACTTTTAACAGTCACAATTTTTTACAGCTGTGAAAATGTTTTTTGTCTCTCACCATTGGAACTGACTCAGGAGGTAGGGATTGGCCACGATGAAATAAGGAGACCCAAATCATTAATGGCACAGCATAAATCATCCCGTTTTATGCAAGCGCGTTAATTTGAAAGCCGAGCGGAACTTTGAAGCAGATAAAACTTACCCTATATACCATTAAAACTAATAGAACTACAACAATTTTAACTTTGATAAAGCGTTCTAATTTTGACGCTTTGTCTTACATTAGCTATACTGGCTTAGACACAGCCATAAGCCCTAACTTGCTGGAATCATGCTATTAGATTTAAATGTCAACTTTAGAAGTTTAACCATTAGTCAGCCCATCCGACTGGTGATCTGAAGGCTGCACAAACGCCTGTGACTTTTGTTTTCTGGGGATGTATCAGAATGTCAGCGTGGACTCGAAGTGACATTCAAATAAACTTGGCCACTTAATGTCACAAAATGAAACACTCATATAAGGATACCTTGCCTTAATTGTAACAGTTAATGCTAAGAAGTACAGCCATTTTTGTTCGAATTGGCTACGAAAATTTGCCATTAGATCAGGATTGTTTTTCGCCAGTTTTATCAAATTTAAGTAGGACAACTCTTACAGATATGACCAGCGTGATGAAGGAGGGGGATAATGTCGAAATGTTAAGAATTAAACAGGAATATCAAATCTCTTGTGTGATGCTCTTCGAAAAGGGGATAAACATTAGTCTACATTTCTTGATAGAGAAGCGATCCTCAAGACAGTAGTGGCTTCCTCTAAAGGGTATGACCGAGAGAACCCCTATTTTTGCCAAATCTCATTCTTGCTGTTTTTGGCTGCTTCGTGTACACCTATCGCTACCTAAAAATTTAGAAGGGTAGGTCTCTTAATAATAAGAGCCACTTAGTAAAAATAAGCTTAAGTATATCTCCACGGCAGGCAAACTCGTATTTAACATCTAAACTGTTCACCAAGTGAACACCTAGACTAAAGTCATTAAATGTGAATAAAATGAATAGGCGGACTTTCATGTTGAAAATAAATTTGCTGCTATAGAATAGTGCTCCTAACAAATACACATTAGTAAATGCACGTATAACACAAGTAGAATTTGGAATCACCAGGCATAAATATGTTGCAAAACTAGTAATTAATGTTTAGTAACAAGTAATGACATGGCAAATTTCCCTAATGAGGACAAAATTCTAAGCATGAGTTCTGAGAGCGATTTTCTAAGTCTAGGGCAGAACACCCCGGAGATCTCTTGCAAGGCAAAGATAAACAAACACTTGACCTGTAAATCTAATTTACTTTCTGGTTTTGCTTTATTTGAACAGAAAATAAGTATTCACTTGAAACGGGCTTACAAAAACAACCATTTTACTTGTCAACTTCGTAACTTATGAACAAACACTTGCATCAGGCTTCAGGCTGATACCTTACTGCACAGAAATGAGTTTCTACATTAGCTGTAAAAGTACTCAATGATTCAGAAGATTAATGTTATTTGACTTAGGGTAGGACTGGACAGTCTAGTGGAGATTGGATTGACTTACCTAGTTACTCAATTATTTACACAACTGTTTCAATCAAAAAATGCACGCTTTAATCAATGCTAAGTGATAGTAACCAACCGAAAAATAACAGATTTAGAAACTCTCAACTCCGCTTTCCTCTACCCCATCATTGTGATTCAATTCACCTCACGCACTACCGAAAAATTAGATTTCAGAGGTTTTTGTGGCCTTCAATAAGGTTTATTTTGCTTTAACTTTATGCAAATGAGGCATCAACACTAAACGCTTCATTGTACAAAGGAGATTATAAATATTGCTAAGGAAATGCACAAAGTACCTATTCCAGTGTAAATTAAACACCCATGATTTTATCTTAAACAGGTTTCGCCGTAGAGTTGTTACCTTTCAAAGCCGTACCTGTTTACATTAAATAAATAGTATTTTGAAAAAAGAACGCCGGATATTGAGGATCGAAAAAGGAAAAATTACTCTCATAAAAGCAAATACACCCGTAAAATTTGATGAAAACTACAGAATCAGACACCTTGCTATAAGCTAATTTCAGCTCAATTGTGGAAACTTTAATTTGCTAAATCATTTTGCCTAGCTGCGAAACATATTCTCTTCCTATGTTTAATTAAATCACTCGTTTTAATAAATTCTTTATTAAGTATAAAAGTATGTAAAGTATCTGGGTGAATCAAATCACAAATTTGAAAGGTGAAACCAAAGTTAGAAGAATGGATTTGTTTGGTAGATTCTACATTTTGGCCCGTATTGTCGTTGGATATCGCTACCTGGACCATAACGTAATGTTTAAAACTTGAACTGAACCATTCAAAACTAACGGCCACTCAGACATAAAAACTTAAAATGATTTCTGTGCCATTAACAGTACCTTCATCTCTAATTTGCTTAACACCTACTTAGCCCAGGAGAAGCGGCTAAATTGGGGGAAGGAGCGCCACCTCTCCGAATTAGGTGTGGTAGCCCACTGCTTGGTGAATGTTTGGCATAATTACAATGCTCGAGCAGGCATCGACGCACGCTTATGATAGGATGTGGTGCGTTTGAAACTTTTTATTTCGTCAGCGCAAATTGTTTATTTTAACCCAGTTAAATGCACGTCCATGTGATAAATGCGAAACACCATAGATTGAACGAAAGATGGGGCCGTTTATAAGCCTTGAAAAGTGGGCCTTCGCTAAACAAGTATTTGGGGTACTGAGCACAAATGCCCGAACAACGACTGCTAGACTTTAGCTTAAAGAAGACATAAAATTCATCTTCTTGAAAGTCGCCCAAAATGCCAGTTGAATTCTTTTAAAAACTTTACTTCCAAATTGTTATTAGAATAATCAGCTCATCATCCTTCCTACGATTGGCACAGGTTACGAGGCATTGTAGAAAGCTAAGTTTGGCTGCTGTGTATCCTTCCAAAAATGTTGAGGGCAAATTATTGAAATGACAGTCGAGTGGTCATTACATTAAATTTTATAACAAATATTTGTTTACATGCCAATCTTGTGTTAAAATAAATTAATAACATTTTGCTCACAACTAACTGGAATTTACCTACCTACCCAAGTGAGAGGTGAACAGAAAGACAATTAATTCTCTACAAAGTCATCATTAAATGACCAACAATTCTCTTTAGAAAGTCGGAAATGCATTGTGGAAACTTAATTAATTTATTCATCACTCAAGACACCACTGAAAACTCTCATTTGCATCTTAAACGGTAGCCATTTTGCACTCGTGATTAGCATTCTTATGTATTTTGACATGGGCATTTTGTTTAAAATACATATTATGTACAAGTGATTGAACATTGAAACGAATTTGTGTTTACTTTCCAAACAAGGGAGAATGCGATTCCACCCAACAGCAGCATGTCAGATTGCCAAATTGCACGAGTCAAGATGTTGTTCAAGACTATCTCGAAGCTTTTATCGTGGTTTGAAACAATGCTTGCAGATGCAGGTGAATTTAAGGTTTGTGAATGAATAGTAAAAATCTTTAAAAATTTTCATTCTATCTTCAACAAATTATTTAATATTACACGGCCTACATAATACAATATTGATAAGATGGGAAGAAATACTCAACTCCTAAAATTTCTATTGCCATCATGCATAGGCAATCAAATAACCGATTTCCTAGATACATCGATAAGCTTGCTTTTGTGTGGCAAAAATAAGCTTTTTTTCAGTAGTCTTCAGTGTCGTAAATATGTTTTTTCCCACTTCTGAAGCACCTTCAGATTAGTCCGATTTTTTTGCGGAGTCAGAGTGATTAAACTTCTATTCTTTTAGCAAGCTCAGTAATCCAAGCAGCTGCTTTAAAAAAAAATCCTAAGCTTCCAAAATTTGTTGATTTTATTTGTTGCGAAAGTAATATTCTCTAGCATTGCACACAAACAAAATGGTTTTTAATGATGCGCTCCACGGAAACAAAGTGAAGCATTCAAATGATATTCTTAAGTGACATTTGGACTCGCCGAAGCGAATTCTTAAAGCTCTACTCAATGACGCCTTAAAAAAAATAAGCAGCCTTTTAGCCTAATAACGTTTAAGGCATAAACGAAACACTTAGTCAAAAAAGGAAGCGTTCCTCGATTTAGTAAGTGTTGCCTGACATTGATAAGATTCTTCGCAGCTAGAAAACCAATGCCAACAGAGCCATTTTGAGTACTTGCAACTTAAGGGGAAATCAGTTATTCTAATTAGTTATGCTAGCATAAGTTCAGCTCATCTGAATATTTATAATAGACCTTGGACTCTTTTTGGTCCTAAAATGGCCTGTTTGAAGTTAGCAACCCTAAAGTCACACTCTCCTTTAAGTGTATTCCCACCAAATAAATCACGCACATATTTTCACTCATTTGTACATCAATTGTAGTGCAGATCATTACAGTAGACTTAGTTGGATACCTTCCAATTGAATTATGCTTTACTCTCTTAGCTGAAAAGAGGGAGGCATGCAGAACTGTTGATAGAAGACATCTATACATCTCGTATCAGCCATGAGCATGGCTGTAGGCAAAGTGTGGCTGTAAAGATAGAAATGTACATGACGGTTTAGGACGCACTTTTTGCGGATTAGTACTATGATTCAATGAAGATGTGATGAAACCACTGCTCTACAATGGCTGTTTTACGGACGAGTTTTCTCCCTAAACCCTTCCAATTCTGAATCCAGTCTGCTGAAATAT